CCTGTCTGTGCACCCGGCCTGCCTAGAGCACCACCCCTCCGCCTAAGCCACAGAGAGTGGCACACAGAAGCACAGGCCTTGAATCTGTCTCCTCCACTTACTAGTTCTGTGACCTTGGGCAATTGACTAATCTCTCTGCCCCCTCAATTTCTCCATCTGTAAAATGGGTCTGTACCAGCTCTCAAGGTGGCTGTGGGGTTTTGGCAAGACGATGGCTGTAAAAGAGAGCGCTTCATGGGAAGCCTGGCCGTGCTAAGCGCTCTAGAAACAGGAGTCACTGTTGTTGTTATTCTGACCCTTCAAGTACGGGTACACGTGCCTCCTCCATCATGAAGCCTTCTCTGATAACTATGGCCTCTTCCACCCTGACTTCATGGCATCTCCAGGATGCATCACCCTGTCCTCTTCCTCGGAGCTCTGCTAACCGTGGGGTCTTAGGTAGGTCCCTTGTCTCTTGTGCATCAGGTCAGGAGAATAGTGCCCACCTCGCAGTTGTGGTAAGAGTTAGTGAAGGAATATATGTGTCTGGCACATGACTGAATATACGTGAAGTGCTGTAGAAATGTTAAGTAATATTAGTTTCACTGCGGTGCTGTGGCACCTCCTCTCCCTATCCCTCCTGTTGTCGAATGGACCGTAAGCATCCTGGATCAGCGACCAAGACTCCTGCTTCTCCGTGGCCTCCTGCTGCACTCGGTGCCCAGCAGGGCATGGTGGACCCCCCAGCCTCACCCACTGGGCCTTCCCAACTGGCCTCCTGGCAGTAACTGGCAGTTCCAAGGCTCCTTTAATGCCAAGGTGCCAAAGTCAGAATTGGGAAGCCCCCAGACCTGTCTCTCGTAGGGGCTGTGACCCCTAGCGCCCCACGTCTTGCCCATGAACACCCTTCTGTTTCTCCCAGGCCACTGCCCTCTCAGAGTCTCCCCCAGGGGCTCAGGAGAGCTCCCCTCTTCTCTCTTCTTCCTGAGCAGCCGCCCCCCGACTTGGTGAGCGACCCCAGGGCCGAGTGCAGCTACAAGGAGCCAGAGGCGGGATTACACGCAGACATGCGCCGGGGGCCAGTGCTGGGTGGTTATTGCCAGTGCCATCGACCCGCACGGCTTGCTGTTTATCCGTCTTCTTGACACACCTAATTACCCAGGTTGCAGCTGCCAGAGCATTTGCTCTTCCTAAATCATGGGCTCCCGTCTCTCCTCGCCCAGGCCTCCGGGCCTCTGCCTGCAGAGGGGCTGCCATTGATTTTGCCGTTCCCGTTTATGATCTACAAGGCTCTGCATCACTGTTGCACATTTTACCTTAATTAGTTTATTCTTCTGGGCGTACTTGGTCAGCTGAGAAGCCAGGAGGTGGAACAGGGGGAGAAACTAACAGCACATGGCGCTCCAGTGCCTGGGTGGACCTCACACCCTAAGAGAGCAGTTTGCTAGGAACAGTGCTAGGTCCACTGGATGTTAATAGATAAGCTGCAAAAAGAGGTTCCGTGGCCAACTGTATTTGGGAAGGACTGTATTAAATAATTAATTTAATTCTTTAAGAGGTGCCTAGGTGGCTCAGGTCATGATCTCGCAGTCCGTGAGTCCGAGCCCCACATTGGCTCTGTGCTGACAGCTCAGAGCATGGAGCCTGCTTCAGATTCTGTGTCTCCCTCTCTGACCCTCCCCTGCTCACACAGTCTTACTCTCTCTCAGAAATAAATTTAAGGGGTACCTGGGTGGCTTAGTCAGTTAAGCGTCCAACTTTCGCTTAGGTCATGATCTCACGGTTCGTGGGTTCGAGCCCCACGTCGGGCTCTGTGCTGACTGCCAGCTCAGAGCCTGGAGCCTGCTTCAGTCTGTGACTCCCTCTCTCTCTGACCCTCCCCTGCTCACGCTGTCTCTCTCTCTCCTAGAAATAAATAAAACATTTAACAACAACAAAAAAAAAAGAAATAAACTTAAAACATTAAAAAATTTTTAAATAAACATTAAAAAATTACCAAAAAAAGCACACTCTGGGAAAGGTTTATCTTGGGTGAGCAGTAAGAATCAGAGGTGATGAAGCAGAAAGGGACAGAGTCATGGCGGTCCCGTTTGTTCCTCTTGTCTCGCTGAGGCAGGAACTCCGTGACATGACTGAATGCAGGGGTCCCCACGGAGCTCCGCGGGCCCCGCTGCTCACAGCGGCTGCCTCACCCTGGCCCGTGCTTGCTGGACGTTAACCCACAGTACTTCGGGGGGGGACTAGACTAGCAGAGGCATCGTCCAAAGGGGCCCTGTCGCCCTGTCGCGACAGAAGAGGGCAAGGGTCACTTGCTGTCGGGGAGGTTGCAGACCCAGACGCCTGCAGGGCCCTCCTCAGAGGTGCCCTGAGCATTAGGAAGCGGTGATAAGGCTGCCACTGCCTCGGGGACAGCCGTGAGCACGGCAGGCCAGGCCCCCAGTCCCTTTACCGCAGTCCTGAAATCCAAAACATTCTGAACGCCTCAGGTGGTTTTTTTTTTTAAGTTTATGGGAAAGTGAATTGATAGCAAAACCTGTCCTGAGCTGATGTGAGTTATTTATAGGCTCTATTTATCCCACTTAGCGTGAATATTCATATATTTTACTGCAGAAATATTAATGTGTTTAATTACAGGGTGCTGCCCCATCCCTCCTGGGGGTGTTATGTAATAAATGGTGTGTGCACTGTATTACCTTTCTAAAATGTGAAAGAAAAAATCTGAATTTCTAAATACTTCTGGTCCCCAGGGATTGTGATGAGGTGCTGTGGACTGGGGCTGTGTGACTTGCCATGCACAAGGCTGACCCTGGCCCGGGGCTTCAGTGCCTTTTTTTTATGTCGATTTATTTTTGAGAGAGTGAGAGAGCACGAATGAGGAAAGGGCAGAGAGAGAGGGAGACACAGAATCTGAAGCGGGCTCCAGGCTCTGAGCTGTCAGCACAGAGCCCAACACAGGGCTCAAACTCACGGACTGCAAGATCATGACCTGAGCTGAAGTCGGACGCTTAACGGACTGAGCCCCCAGGCGCCCCTCTAGTGTTTTTTATCCTGTAATTCCTACCACCACTGGGTGGAGGAAGCACAGCTTTTGCCCTGATGCCCAGATGAGGAAACCAAGGCTGGAGAGGATAAGGAGTAAGCAAGGCCCGAGCCAGTGGGCGTCGGCATGGGGCATGGGCTCAGGCCATCGTAGTCAGCACCTGTGCTTCAGTCCAGAACCAGCTCCTCAGATGCCCCAGTGGGCTTCCCCCCGGGCTGCTGCGGCTCTGCCCTACCCTAGCGTGGCTCCCCAGCCCGAGCCTCCACGGAACAGACATCCGCAGGCCTCCTGGATCTGCTCCCTGTTCTGCTCCGGAAGGGCCTTTCCCTCCCCTGGCTGGGCCTCTGCCCCTCTGGGAGGGTCAGGCTCCAGTGTCAGCTCCCTGGTGTCTGGTGAGCATCTCTGAGGCCAATTGCAGACCCCACAGACCACGCACCAGCCCCCGTGGGTCCCTGCGGTCTGAGGAGGCTCCCAGGGGAGGCCACTCAGAGATCAAAGCCTTTTGTCATCTCCTGGGCAGAGCCACCTGAGAGATCCTTTATAACCGCCCTCACCTCACATGCTCACACTCCCACAGACCTCCTCAGTCATTTCGTTTCAGGCACTGACTGTCACCAGGCTCCTGCAGTGCAGAGCTGGTGTCCCGAAGGGCCTTCAAGAGTGGCCCATCTGTAACATGGCAATGACCACTTGTGTCTAATAGCTACCACCTTGAGGGGACACTGTGCTAATCCTTTGGGGTGCATCATCTCATGTATTCCTCACGGTAAACTTGATGCAGCTTTTACTGCTGTCCCATTTCCAGGAAAACTGGAGCTCAGAGATGCTAAGCAACTTGCCCAAAATCAACAGCGAGCCCCTAGAAGTAGAATCTGGGTAGAACAGAGGCCAGGACTGGGGCACGTGCACTCTAAACCCTGATGTCTTAACCACTGCACCATGCTGCTCCCTTCCACCTGAGCCCGTGGCCTCTCCCCTGGACCAGCCAGAGAGTCAACGGCAGGGGTCTGTCCCCAGGTCCACTCTTCCCCAGGCTCACCTCCCTGGCTTCCTGTAGCTGCCCCTTGCGTGTGTTTCCAGTGCCCATCCCTGCGAGCAGAACGTGATCCGTCCTAAAACATGACAGCTCTGGGTCTCACAGGAACAAGAAATAAACTAGGGGTGACAGCAGAGTGGAGAGAAACCTCAAGTGGCCTTAGAAAAGCATGAGCCTCCGGCCACCAGAAGTTCTTCCCCACTTCCCAAAAACAAGCTGCTCAGCCATGGCTTTGCCTTGGGAGGCCACAGACCCCCCGCAGTTACATGTGGTATGTTGTGTGGTGCACGTGTGTACGATTCCCTGAGCTGAGGGTCCTCAGCCTCCATACGTTTCTCAAAGGGGTGGGGACCACTGCTCCCTAGGGCCTCCCAGGGCTGCCCCAAAATCACCCACCTGGGTGCTGACCCTACTGCCATCTGGTCCCCCTGGGGGTGGGCGATGGATCTGGCAGGACACCACTGCCAGCCCTTTCTGAGATCCAGACTTAGAGCTCCACCCACCAAGCAGGATCATTTCTTCTCAGACCCAGATCAGGTCCTGCGATCCAGCAAAGAATGTAGGAGGCAACTCCTGGGAAAAGAGATACTCTGGGTTGTGTTTGGGAGCTAAAACGCTAGCAATCCCAGATCTCCTGTGTGTTGCAGGAACGTGGTACCGAACGTGAAGCCCAGCTGCTGAGGGTCATCTCGGACACACAGCAGTGGTAACATTTCTTGGGTAGCTCCCGAGGCCCGGGCTGGCTCTTTTCATAAGCCTCAAGGTCTCTTCTCTCAACTGAAAATACCTGAGTGCCCCCTTGACAGAGCCTCTCCTCCTCTTGAGTGAGTGCTGCAGGGTGCACTCACCTTGCCGCAGATGACCGGACCACCTATGGCAGGTGCCCCGAAACGTACCTGCACGCTGGCCCACCAGCCACCGGCCCTCCCTTCCTCCTCTCTCCAGGGGTGGCCACGTACACGGACAAGCTCTTCAAGTTTCGCAACAACCGGTGGGAAGACATCCTCAGCGACGAGGTCAACGTGGCCCGTGGTGTGGCCAGCCTCTTTGCCGGGCGCTCCGTGGCCTGTGTGGACAGGACGGTGAGTTCAGGGTTGCGTGGGGGGCTGGGGGAGGAGAGGGGGCACACAGTGAAGTGAGAGCCTGGAGGAGAGCCAACAGGCGACGTCCTCCAACAGGGTGCGGCTGTCGGGAGCAGAGCCCAAAGCTGCACCAGCAGCTCCCACAGTGCCTTGCACATAGTAGATGCTCAATACTAACCAGCCCTGCAGGGTGAGTTACTGTCTACTCCATGTTCTTTCTCCTTGTGGGCCCTCCCAGCAACCAGTGAGGAAACCGGTCAAGGGCTCTCATCATCTGTCCATTGGGCAAAGGAGGGAGCCGGGGCCCAGCTTGGTGCAGTGGCTTGCCTGACGACCCGGAATAGATTGGCAGTGTGTCTAGGACATGAATTAGACTTCTCTAGCTCATTCATTTTTTCAACCAGTATTTATTAAGTGCTTACTTTGTGCCAAGCATTGAGCCATGGAGCTCCCCCCGGAAATGTTTGTGGAACAAATGAAGGCACAACGAAGAGGTTCAGGGGTGGGTGAGTGAAGGGTGGCCCGAACGTCCAAGTGCTCTGTTTAATCAATAGCTCTGTCACTGTGTTCGCACCTGCTAGTCCTCTTTACCTGGGGTGCCAGCCCAAAGCAGGTGGGGAGGAAAGGCTGAGGGGGAGGGGCGGGAGCAGATGCCGCCACCTGCCCTGTGGGGCGGCCCCAGCCCAGGCTTGCGTCCCTGCAGCCCCAGCCAGAGCCACGGCTTGCCGTGAGGGTGATTAATCCCTCCTGTCACCTGCTCCCCTGCTGCCCCTCCTTGGCTCTACAGACAGTCATCAGCACTCGGGGCCCCAGCTGCTGCCTAGCTCCATTCTGGGGGCAGGGGCAAGGGGCCTCGCTCATCTCAGGATTGAGATGGCCCCGAGGGGATTGGGGATTCAGTGTGAATCTTCACAGCAGGGGCCGCCAGGCCTTGGGAGAAGGCAGGTGCCAGGTATAAATATTTATTTCTTAACAAGCTGGTGCTGGGAAAAGAAGCCAAGCTGGGCTGTGAAGCCACATTTAGCCCTGACCTGAATCTTCGCCACCTGGACTCCTGCCTAGTGGGAGGGAATGAGGAGGTGCTGGCTCTGGGAGCAGCCCCGAAGAGTGAGGAGGGTCTGGGGTGTACCAGGCCCGGCCACCGCTAGGAGCCTCTTCCCAGGCTCCGTGTTTCCTGTCTCAGTCCTTCCGAACAAGGGCTTCCCACACATGGCCAAGGTGGAAACCATCTCCGAGCAGGTGGCAGGGCCTGAAGGTTAATCACAAAGAGATGCACTCTTGTCCTAACAAGGTCATCCGCACACCCACGCATTTAACCACAGGACAAAGGCACCATGTGAAATGAAAAAACAAAACAAAACAACAACCATGCTTTTGCACACAGCGCCATAGGCAGGCACTTAGCAGCCCACTCAGCCCCAGCCTTAGGGAGCTAGAAAGCACCCCTACAGTCCGTCTGCCACCAGGAAAGGGGCTGCTTTCTGTGTCCAGCCACCACTGCCACCTTGGCAAACCCTGGGGCCTGAGAACTGTGTGGGGGAGGAGTAGCGGGAGGTCACGGCCACTCTGGAAACTGAGGAGTAGGAATGCACCCTGGGGTAGGAAACCCAAAAGCAGTCTTAATGACGTCTAACTTTCATGAGCTACCAGCATGCCAAGCCCTGTGCTCAGCAGTTTATATGCATCATCTTGCTGAATCTTCGCAATGAGCTTATGAAGTACATGCTCTCATTATCCCCATTTTACAGATATGGAAACTAAGGCTTCAGTCAGTTAAGCAACTTGACCTTGGTCACATGGTAAACGGCAGGCAAAGCCAGGAATTGGGCCCTTCCTGCCTGAGAATGAATTAGATGCCTTTCTGCCCCATGGCCACCCCGTCTCTGGGTGAACCCACATCAGACACATTTCTAACCACGGGTTCTGTTACAGCCTTCATCCTACTCCTTCCTCAGCCCCACAGCCACCACGTGGAGCCTTTTCATCTTACCTGTTCCCAAAGTGTGGTCTGCAGACCAGCAGCACCTGTTGCTGGTTAGCGTGGTTAGAAACGCAGATTCTGAGGCCCGGCCCCCACTCCGCCCTCCAGACCTGCTGATTCGGAGCCCACCGTGGGTGGAGGGGAGCCGAAATCTGGGTTTGAACTAGCCCTGCGGGTGACTGTGGTGCAGGCTGCCGTTTGAGAGCCGTCCTGCAGGTAAAGGTGTCAGCCCTACCCCGTGCCCTCCCTGCCCGCTCCCAGCAGCCCTCATTCCCTCTCGGCCCCACATCTGGCACACTTGCCCGCCCTTTGCCTGTGGCTGCCTCATCATTCACCCACCTTTCTGGATCCAGCTCAAAGCCCATCTCTTACAAGAAGCGTTCCCTGATCGATAATGATTACGCCTCATGTTTATATAGCATTTTTATCTCTTGGAGACCTTTCACATGTGTTGTCTCATTTCATCTTCTCAACAACCCTGCCAGGAAGCAGGGAGAATATGATTCCCCTTTAACACACGAGGAGACGCAGCCACAGGGGGCGAGGAACCTCCCTGAGGACAAAGAGCCACATAGGGGCAGAGCTGGATGAAGACCAGGCTAGTATCCTAGACCGTGGCCCTCCAGGGTGGCTCCTGGGCCAACAGCATCACCTTCACCTGGGAACTTGTTAGAAATGCAAACTCGGGGCCCACTCTGAGCTCCCGAATCAGAAACTCAAGGGATGAGAGGCAGCATCTGTGTTTTAACAAGCCCTGCAGGCGATTCTGATGTAGGCTGAAGGGTGAACCCACTGCCCTACTGGGAGCCCCTTTCCAGGCTCATCTCTGGGATCACCTCACCATCCCAGAGCGATTGTAGTCAAGGTCACACGTGCATCCCTGCAGTCTCCCACAGCCATAACACATCTGTGTTTGTCAAGTTTTATCAGCCCAGTACATTGAAGAAAGGAACTAGCTATAACGGAATTTTATCAACATCCTAATTTCTAGCAGAATGCCTTTCAGTTCATTTGGGCTTAATTGCCCATTTGTTGATGGGACTGCTAACAGCCAGTGGGGTCAGGCTTGGGCACAGGGAGGGCTCACTCTCCTCTTCGGGCCCATTCATTCAGCCTTCCTCCTGTCATTTCACACACATGTACTGGGCTCCTGGGATGGGCAAGAGGCCTTCAGGGTCCTCCCCCAGGCACGAAGCCGCGTTGCAAAGCGGTGCGTCTCAGACTTCACTTTTGCAGAGGGATCACATGGGGTCTTGTGAAAATGCAGATTCTGATTCAGCAGGTCTGGCAGAGGGGAGGGGTCACTGGGAGTCTATATTTCCAACCTGCTCCCAGACGACACCGAGGCTGCCAGGCCACGCACTGCTGAGGAGCAAGATTCGCAAAGCACAGACTTCCAGGTGGCAGGGTGGAGGCTCAGATAACCAAAGCACTAGGGGCGTCAACAGCTTGAGAGAATATCTTTCCACCTGCTCCAGCTTTGGCCCCTGACACACCCTGCCTCGCATTTTATGTTCCAGCAACATTGAACCAACTTCTTGTGGTTTGCCTATGTTCGTCATTCTCTGCCTGGAAGGTTCTTTCCTCTACACTTCACCTGGCTGAGACTCCTCCTAGAAAGCCTTTCCTGAACTCCCCATGGTTCAATGCCCTTCCTCTGGGGATCCTCTTCTGTACACCAGGAAATGCTGTATATGTTCTCTTTCACCTCTTTCTTTTTTTTTCTTTTCTAAAATATTCTAATACCAGTAGAGTTAATGTATTTATTTTCTTAATTTTTTTTATTTTAAATCCAGTGTAGTTAATACACATATTCTCTTACTCATACATATGATTGTGTTATCGTTGATGTGTCTGCATCCCCTCGGGAGACCAGGAGCCCCTTTGCTGCCCTCACCCACCAGTCAGACAGACCCAACTAGCTCTTAACCAGCTTCCCCAAAGAAAACATTCCCATAGAAGGGATAAAGTCCGTGGTTGGTTAGGTGGAACAGGAATGGCTTATGGAGTCATTGAGTAAGAAATAGCACAGTCTGGTGGCCTGGAACTCCTCTGTTTCTCCCGGGTTGTTTTGTGTGTGTGGCTTGCCTTTAGAGTTTATTTATTTATTGCGGCACCTGGGTGGCTCGGTTGTTGAGCATCCCATTTCGGCTCAGGTCATCATCACACAGTTTGCAAGTTCAAGCCCCACGTCAGGCTCTGTGCTGAAAGCTCAGAGCCTGGAGCCTGCTTCTGATTGTGTTTCCCTCTCTCTCTGCCCCTCTCTCACTCAGGCTATCTCTCTCTCTCTCTCTCTAAAGGAAATAAACATTTAAAATAATTAACTTTATTTGTTTATTAATCAAGCCCTGCAGAGCCTGACTCAGGGCTTGATCTCATGAACCATAGGATATGACCTGAGCCAAAAGCAAGAATTGGACACTTAACCGACTGAGCCACCCAGGTGCCCCACGTTTACAGCTTGCCTTTAAATGAGACTATAGGCAAGTGAAGACTGAAGACTTTGTCTTAGATACATTTAGAGCAGAGCGTGTTGCATGTAGTTGGAGCTCAAGAAATATGTACTATCTGATTAATTGGAGTGAAATGATGAGAGGAAAGCTAGAAAACTGTTAGAATTTAGAAATCAGGCGGATCTCCTGGGGGAAAGGAGACATCCATTGAAGAAACGACACCGTTATACTAACAGGCAGAAAAGAGTCTTTCATCAGCAGGGTTTCGGACTAGCGCGGAGAACGACTACAGCCGCAAGGAGCTGGTGCCCAGGCTTCTCCTGGATGCAAAGAAAAAAAACATTTGAGACAGGGTTAGAAAGGCAGAAGCAATATACTATTTCTTTCTGGTAATATGGCAAAACCAGGGGGATGGAAGAAGGACCCCTGCATATCTGAACCTCTGTGCTACCGAAATAGAGGCATGAGGAAACACAGGGTGACAAATGGGGAGGGAGAAGACTCCGGAATTTGCTTGTCATCTTGGCTGGAGGGAGCTTGAATGGGAGAGAGAGAGACTGAGAATAATGGGAATTGGTAGATCAATCAATCAGCAAATATTTATTGAGCAGCTACCCTGGCTGGCAGCTGGAGAGAGCTCAGCTGGAGAGAGGCACATTAGAAAATTGTCTATAAAAAGGTGGTTGTGGGGGAGAGGGAGGGATGTGTTCTTCTGGAACAGGATAGAAGGAGAAGCAGGGCTGCTTTGTCGTAGGACATGTCGAGGGTGGGTGCCATGCACTCTGTAGCCCCTGGGAAAGCACCTCTGGAGTCGGGCCCAGCTTACAAGGCCATGCACCCCAGACCAGGGAGGAGAACCTGACCCTTGAAAGAGCTATGGTCCTAAGAGGAGGGGGAGAGCCACTTTCTGGGAAAGAGACCACAATGCACCCGAATGGGTCTTCTCACCCACCCTCCTTTCCTTCCTCCTCAGGGCTCAGGACGCTACTCTATCTATATCGCCAATTATGCCTACGGTAACGTGGGCCCTGATGCCCTCATTGAAATGGACCCCGAGGCCAGTGACCTCTCCCAGGGCATTCTGGCGCTCAGAGATGTGGCTGCTGAGGCTGGGGTCAGCAAATACACAGGTAGGCAGAGTGACACGGGGCATGCTATGAGCTGGAAGGGTGGGGGGCTGGCGCTGGGGGCTGGGCTCTGTGAGGCTGAGTTCAGTTTATCAGAGCCCACAGGAGAGGGTGCGCTTGTGTCTCTGGGGAGGGGAGATGAAGGCTTGATTCCATCCCCCCAGCCACACGAAGCTCCTCCAGCACTGCCTTTCCAAGGGTTGGGGAGACACCTGCCACGTGTGGGTTTTGGGGGCGTAGAGGACACAGGATGGAAGGTGAGAACACCCCAACACCTTCCTCTCCTAGAACCTCTAGCCTCATTCCCTGCTGTAACCCAAATGATGGGTGAACGGATTCTGTAGGAGAAAACTGACAAATCACCAAGGCTGAGATTTAAAGAATTCTTTATTGCCAAACAGCAGATGAAATTATTTACTTATACATAAGCGGCCGGGAATTGAGTGCTAAATCCCTAAGCTTCAGCTGGGTCCCGTCTTGGATAACTGAGCTCAAAGAATTGTGTTCTTGTTCCAAAACCTCTCTAGGCCCTTTTTTGGAAGCCACGCTCCCCCCACATCTCTCTGGATGGGGGACCTATTGTCAGTCTCTGACAGGGAGATCTTTCTAGGGAAGGCTGTTTTTCTAATTCAAGCGCTGCTGCTGACTAAACTCTGATAATCTGCCAATAGACTGCTGATGGCAGAGCAATCCGGTTCCTGTTTTGGGTGCCAAAAATCAGGAAGCCGGAGCTGTGCACAACAACTTCGCACGTGAACTTCAGGCTCACTCACTCCAAGCCTATAACTGGGACATAGAAATCCTCTCTCTGGTTGACCTTCCCGATATATCCATCCCAACTTTCACTGCAGACGTCCAGAGTGTCGGCCCTGCCTGAATCCAAATCCTGGGGCTGGAAGGCTATCTGAAGGGTCCTTTGGGCCATCCCTGCCTCCAGACAGCCGGGTGGTAGCACACTCTCAAAGCCCTACCTGGAAAAAGTGGTCACAGCCTCTCCTGAGTTTATGATGCCTTTCTCTAGCCAACTTTCCACCTCTGTGAAACAGGGAGATTGATGTTGGCCTGTCTGACAAAGTTTGTGGGAACAAACGGCTAGACAGTAAAATAGTGTGCACAGCTCGAGCCCCATCAAAGTGCTCGAGAGCCCCGCACGTGAATGTGCAGCCTTTCTGGCTGAGTGTCAGTAATAAACCATGCTTTCCTGGGAAAAGGAATAAACATGCAGGAGCTTCAGCCTAGATTTGTGCAGTCAATTTTTCTGAATAGTTCCCAGCTCTGTGCACTGGGCTGGCTTGGCAATTAAGTGCCTTGATCTGCAGGAGCAGGAGAGTGGGCTGGGGAGATGAAGCACTTGAAAATGAGGAGATGGAAGGGAGGCAAGGTCTGGGAGAGAGGGTTATACACGGAATAAAAGAATTCGGGAGGTTGCGACTGGGTTTGAGCATGAAGGGGACGTTGTTCACGCTGGCTGGGCTGGCACAGGGGCAGGTAGGAACCGAAGAGGGGGCAGGAGGGGACCGAGAGGAGACAGCTGAGGAGTATGGATGGGGATGGGAGCAGTAGCCAACTGCGCCGGGCTGTGCAGGGAGGACCGGGCAGCTCAAGGAAGGGACAGCAGCTACAGGCGGGCCGGGGCAGCTGGCATGCCCAGAGGACACATTAGAGCAGCTTTGCAGACATCCAGAAGCCGTTTGGCTGACGAGAACCTATTTGGCCCACCAAGTTACTATTGTGTCTGCCCGCCTTCGCCAGCCCACCCTTTCCTTGCCCGCCAAGTCCCTCAGCTCTACCCTGCAGCCCCCTTTGTTACTCGGATACTGACGCATGGACATCTGGCTGGAAAGCTAGCCCAGAGCACCGCCTGGAACTCCAGGGACAGACCCCGAATGTGAGGGCCACCACTGGAGCCCAGCCTGATTGCCGAGTCTCTGGCACATGGCCAGCACTCAGCTCCAGGCCAGTGCCCTGGGGCCCAGGAAGGGGGCAGCAGGCAGGCAGTGTGCTGAGCCGGCCAGGAGGGAAGTGAGCCGTGGCCAGATGTGCAGTCGGGGAGCCGCACGTCCCCAGAGCCAAGCCACACGATACCCATCTGCCGGACGGCCCTTGGGGAAGCTCCTATTTTACAAAAGAATAAATCGAGGTCCAGATAGAAAAAGGGACTTGCCCAAAGTCACGCAGAAGCATTGTAAAGAAACTAGCATTTAGAGCCCCGGCCCCCAAAGCTTAATCTGCCACAACCAGCTGACCTTCCTGATGACCTACAGCTTGAACATCCGGCTCCAACCTGCAAAACGGGAGGGGCTGCTGAAGGAGGAAGGCCTGCCCCAGGGAATGGCACTCCCAGGGCACTGCCCCAGGGAATGGCACTCACGGGTTTGAGTATGACCCCCCAGGTTTTGTGGCTGAAGCAGCTGCTTGGCCAAGGCTGTGCTGGGCAGCAGGGGGAGACCCAGGCCAGCAGTCGGCAGGCCGGCCAATGGCGCTGCCCGCACCACCATGCTGTCCGGCTCTCTAGGGCCCAGGGAGGGAAGGCCTACTCTCCAGACCTGAGCAATTCCACTGGCGGCGGCCACTCTGCTAGGTCACAGTGCCATCTAGTGGCCACCATGCCCATTCTCCGGGGACTTGAGGGCTGCTGGCTGAAGAGGGGCTGGTGCCGAGTTGAGGGGAGGGAAGCCCACTCCCCCATAGCTCCTAGTTCAAGGAGAATCCCCAGCCCCAACTTTCCCAGATGCCGGCAGCCCCTTGGAGCCTGGACGGTGAGAGGAATCCTGAGAATCAGTCGTCCGTGTGGCAGAGGGCCTGGAATGGAACCCAAGGAGGGCGGAAGTGAGGACCAAGAGGTCTGCACGGGCCCCTGCAGCCCTGAGTGACCTTGAACACATCCCCAGCCTCTCTGAGCACCTTGAACTAGCAGTGTGAACTACTGTCTCACAGCGCTGCTAAGAAGACAGGCTCTGGCATCACAGTGCCGGGTACCCATCCTGCCTCCGCCGCATCTCCTGTCCAGGCAGCTATCAGCAGCTTGTTAATAATGTGTCTGGACCTCAGCTTTCTCACCTGCAGCGGGGGTGTGAGAATGAAGGTTGGCAAACAGAGGACATGGCAGGCACAGGACCCTCAGAGCCTAGACCCCCCTCCTCTGAGGTGCCCAAAGGGACACCAGGGCCCTCTGCTGGGCACCTCCCAGGTGCAGGGAGCGCCCTGCAAGGCACAGGGGGCAGCACAGAGCAAGCCCGCCCCGCCCCTGCCCTGGAGGCATTCTCCTTGTGCTTCGGCCTGGCCCCCGCGCAGCCTGCCCTCCGGCCCTTGGCTACTTCATGCCCATCCCTCCTGGAATCCACTTGTCTTCCCTCTTAACTCTGCCCCCCACCCCTGCCAGCTTCTCCTCCCTCCCCAGGAGCTCTGCATTTCGGCCTCACCCTCTGAGGGAGCATCTGCCTGGGCTGCAAGGTGGTGATTAAAGAATCCTTACAAGAACTTTGGAAAGAAAATGAAGGTGGATTTATGATGTGGGGTGGGGATTTTTGCTGTTGGCTGGAAGCAGTGTAGAACAAAGCGGAGGGCAGATCTGATTTATAGGAAGTCGTTATTGGAGGAGAAGGAGATGCCTAAAGCCCAGCTGAGGCCTCTGGCGGTTCCCCAGCAGCCGACCGCAGAGAGGTGACCGTGGGCAGCAGAGTGGGGGCCACGGAGCCCCCCGGGCTGCTGGGGGGGGGGGGCACTGCCTTGCAGCGGGAGCACAGCCAGACCTGACAGGCAGGGCTGGAGTGACAGGCTCCTGCACCAGGGCCCAGGACCCTCTGGGAGGCCCGTCCCAGGCCTGCCCCAGAACACACGGCGTGTCGCTCTACTGGATGATTGACAAGAGGGGACATCATTTTTCTTTCAGAACAAACACAAATATGTCATATGATACAAATACGATCTTTTCCACTGTGAAAATAAGGTTTTAAAGGTCAAGCCTGTGGCTGACCACCTTGGGCCTTACGGGGAGCCGGGATCCCTCTTCTGCCTGGAGGAAACTTCTGTAGAAATGTTTGAGAGGGCACTGTGGGGGAGCACAGGCTCTGGGGTCACTCTGCTGTGGGTTTGAACTGTGACCCACTGCCTGCTGGCTGCGATTGCACTTCTGGGGCCCAGGTTTCCCCACCTGGGAAACGGTCGGGTGAGATGATGCTGTAGAATGTCTCATGCACAGGACGGGCAGCAGGGAGCTAGAGGAGCTGTTCCTGCTCCTTTACCTGCCCCTCTCTGCCCTTTGCCTGCTTCTTCGGGCCCCTGCACATTCCCACTCCCCTCCATGTCCTGCAGGCATGGACTGAGGGAGGAGTGGGCATGTCCGTATCTAACACCCTGCCCTCCACGCACTCAGAACCCCACCCGGCCTCTGTCCGTCTCGCATCATTACCAGCACCAACGCTGTATTATTCTGTGTTCGAATTTTCAGGAAATTTAGGATGAAAGACCCTGTTACCATCCTGCACTATCCTCACACCCCCTTCACACACACACACACACACACACACACACAGCCCATTCCTCCACCCTTATGTTTTCCAGCATCTTTGCTACTCTTTTATAATTTCTTGGATGTTCTTGGCAGCATGCAGGCCTTGGCATCCACAAGAATCCTAAGAATCGTATTTCTGTTGAGGTCTCAGCAGATAAATCCCACAGGTCCAAATCTCTTGGCCAAGGGGCCTCACAAACCACCGTGGTATGGGCTCCATGTGGCCTGAGAATCCACTCCCAGCCATGCTTGTCCTGAGCTCCAACCTAGAGGATGCCCTGGGAGAATGGGAAAGAGCCTTGGAGATCTCCTCCCTCCCCCCACCCCCACCCCCGGCCTCCAGTTTACAGGGAGGGAGACCAAGGCCCCAAGAGCACACAGCTCAAGTTCCTGCAGCCGGAGCCCGCGCAGATGCCTGGCAAGGACCTGGAGGCTTTTCCTTAGCATGGCAACGCCCGCCTCCTCGTGCGTGGGTCCTCTGGCCCACAGTTTGGGGTGGTTCAGCAGCACACACGCCCTGTTCCCCATAGCCCTCTTTCCATCATTACCCCGACACCCGCGGCTCCCAGATACAGTCTGTCCTTTCAGCAGGCTCTCCTGGGGATGGCCTGGATGCAGTCTGAGAAATGGATTGCCTCTACCCAAATTGGACTCGATTCTGCATTGCCAGAGTTCAGGGGTTCAGAGCTTTAGGGGTGCAGTTCTTGAGGGTAAATGAGGTTGCTCCATGGGCAGATAATCAGAGGGGGCTCACGGATGTGGCAGGAGGAAGAAGGGCAGTGGGGAGGCATTTCCCCTGTAACTCCCCCTCCCCCACCCAGCCTGATCAGCAGAGTGAGAGCCTAAGTCGGGAAGGGTTGGGCAGGGAGTGGCATCTACACCCAGCAACAGAATGAGGAGGCCTTGGACGCTTGAAAGTGCCGGGGAAATAAGGGGATTTTATTGACCTAGCACGTGGGAAATTGTCCTGGCTAATGACTCTGTGGCGCCTGACATTTTCCAAAGTACCTTCCGAAAAAGCAGCTCACTTAATATTTATGACAGCCCTGAGAAGGAACTGTTGTTATTATCAGTCTCACATTATAGGTGAGAAAACAGACGCCCAGAAAGGTTCGGTGAGGCGCCCAAGGTCACACTCAAACTTCCTGATCCCTAATCTTTCCCACCACCAGGGCTGCGTCTCCAGCCCCAACTGGGGAAACTACTTTTCCCCAGGAGGATGTGCCTGCCTCTAATATAAAGGAATTAATTGATGTAAAGTAGAATGTAACTCCCAGTTGGGACATCATTCTCCAAGGCTAAAATAAAGATGTTCCTAAGTGCCCCTTGTGTAGCCACAAAAGGTGTGTGCTAAACCTTAAGAGGGGAAGAGTAGCGGGGAGGAAGGCCATCTGGTTAGAAGAGACTGAATCAGGAACCTCTGTCACTGATCACACAGGGAGGGGAAGTATCAGGCTACCTTAGAATGGATGGATTTTATTGGTTTGAAGAGGACCTCCGTGGCCCACCCAGGAGTAGAGATTCCCCTGGAGCACAGCAAGGGGTGCGGCTGCTCCGCGCCCCTGCCCCAGACCCCAGTTGGGCTCTCCCTCCTGGGGCTGCGGGGGCCTGTGCCCAAGAGGCGGTCTCCCTGACTGTTGACTCACCTTCTCTCCAACTGTGCGGCAAACTTGCCAAGAAGGAGTTGTGGGTAACATCTCTGTTATGGTCTGGTTGCCATGGCAATAAATTGTCACTAATTAGTAGTGTGGTTACCATGGCAATTTTCTAATAATTACAGGTTACAAATGGTACAAGGCTTCAACCCAACCCAATTAGTTAATTAGAAAGATTTAGAAATTTGTCCAAGAGGGAAATAACCTGCTTTGTAGAAAATGAAGAGAATGTGTCACAGCTTGAGAGCCAAAGGCAGAGAGGAAATTGGAGGACACCAGAGTGGGGGTGACGGATGGAGTTTCGTGGTGACAAGTCCCAGAGCCCTACCTGGAATTTCCGGAGGCCTGGGAAAGGCGGAGGGTTTCTCGCTGAAGCCTGTTCCGGGCTGGGATCTGGCAGGACCAGGGCGGGGGCAGCCGCCAGCAGCCACTCCTCGGCTCCTCATGAATGGGCAGAGCGGTGCCCGGGTTGCAAGCCAGCACGCCTCTCTGCTGGCTTTAGGAAAGACATCTGAAAGCCTCCCACCCCACACTCGGGCTGTCCTAATGGAAAATCACATTTCACATCTTGGATGATGGTTCCCCGAGAGCGCTGTGGATTTAGTGACTCCATTTTCATGAGGCTTGGGCTCTCCTTGAGAGCAATTAGATTACCTGGGAGGAATAGGGGAGGCACAGGGCCCAGAATGTGTTAATTTGGAGCTTAACCATGAGAGCAAGGAGAGCAGTAATGCCTTTGCCCCATCCCCTCCTCCTGGCCCCCAGCACCAGGACAGGTGGGCAGACTGTATTGCACAGGTGAGAAAGGCCCCATGATTTCCTCCAGGGGCATTTCTCGAGGACGGGAGGAGTCTGGGGACCAAGAGAACCTCCATCCCAAATTAGCAGTCACTTTACAGAAACCTCTTCGCCATCCAGAGCGGGGTGGGCAGGTGGGTGGGGCTTGGCCCAGCATCACTCAGATCTGCCTGAGCTCGCATTTATTTAACAAATAACAATAATATGTTCTTCTGAGTGCTCTGAACACTATTCTTATTGTACTGAAGAGCCCATTAGAGCAGCACATTTCAAATTTGACTGTGCACATGACCACCCAAGGATCCTGCCAGAACGCAAGTTCTGACTGGGGAGGGACCTGGGACTCTGCATTTCTAACAACGTGGCCTCCTTGCAGCAGAGCCACGGACCTGACTCTGAGTAGCAAGGGGGTGGGATTCACACAGAGACCCTGTGAGGGAGGATCTCACCTCATGGGATCCTCTTAAAATTCTTAAAATAGAAAAAGCAGGTCACACTACCCACATTGTACAGACAAGAAAACTGAGGCTCAAAGGGTAACATAAATTGCCCAGCACAACTTGTGAAAGGCCTTGCTGGGATTAGAGTCCATGCCCCAGCCCTGGTCAGGCTGTTTTTCTGCCCAGTGTTTCCAGTGTTTAAGGATGTGGCTTCCAGCTCTTGATTTGAAACCCAGTAGTTGGGGCTGTTTGTTCAAGATATCTTAAGATTGGACTTGATGACACATAGAGCTCAAACTTGATCTTGGAGACATCAAACCCTAATGTAGAGCTGGCTTGATTTCCTTCTTTTAAAAAAAAAAAAAGTATGTAGTTATTGGATTTTTTCCTTTCAAACTACAGAAGCAGTTCTGTTGCAACAAGCCAGATAATACAAAGACATTCCCCAAAAAGGCCAACTACCGTCTCTCCTTCCCTCCCCAGATCCCACCCCATCTAGTAGTCTAGGTTAACAACTCAGAGTAGGGCCTTTCCCACTTCTCCCCAAACTCAAGAACAAGCTTGCATAAACACGTTCAGAAATATCACGTATTTCCCTTTTTGTTTTTAAATAAAACTAAGATGACACAATACCGTTACTTGGCGAATTGCTTTTGCGTTTAACAATATGCCACGGGCACTCCTCCAAGTCCGTACATGTGGATCTACACAGGCTTTTTAGTGGCTGCGGAACCGTCGTGTGGACGCACCATCGTCCGTTCAGCCCGTGGCTGTCGGTGCACATGCAGGCTGTTGGCTCCGTCGCACAAAGTCGGGGAAACGCCCTGCAGCTTTAGCTGGAGCTTGTTCCTGCATGTTCTTAGAACAGGGGCACGCCGCGTGTCTCGAGTGGCATATGTATGACTCGCAGTGGGGGTGGGGTGTCAGGAAAATCTGTGACTTGACCAAAATGCTGGGGGGAGATCTGGGCGAAGGGAGTATTGTAAGTCGGCCTCTGAAGGGAAGGAAGGATACGGTGGCTTCTGTGTCCTGCAGGTCACGGAATCGTTGCTTTGGCACAGAGTGACTCTGTCTGCCTTGCCCCTCACTTACTTGCCTCATCGTCAGTGTTGTCATGCTCCACACAAGTTTATGGGATGGCGAGCCCAGATCTGGGCTCAGAGAAGCATCCAGAAGGTTGGAAATCCCCCACTCCCCCCACCCCCAGCAGCTTTTCTGAGGCCTCTCACCATGGCCGCTCCTTGAAGGCCTCCTCGCGGGCCCAAGGCTTTGCTTCTGCCACTCACTGCGGATCAATGTCCTCTCCTAGGGGGCCGGGGTGTCAGCGTGGGCCCCATCCTCAGCAGCAGCGCCTCAGACATCTTCTGTGACAACGAGAATGGGCCCAACTTCCTCTTCCACAACCAGGGTGATGGCACCTTTGTGGATGCTGCTGCCAGTGCTGGTGAGTGCGGCCGCTGCCCTGTGTCCCTGGCTCCCCAGCCCCGCGGGGGCCTCCAGGCGTTCCTGCCCCCCCACACCCTCCACCACCCTCGCATGGCAAACATTGCTTGTCCTCTTCAGTTCCACGTGCCCTAGGCTCGGGGAAAGGGCAAGCCTGGAACTCCTGGGCCTTATCCATTTTCCAGCCATGAGAATCGGCTCGCATTCCTCTGAGTCCTACTTGAGTACTCAGCCTTAATTTCCCCTCCAAGCTGCCTCTTTCCAGGCCCTCTCCCCACATTCACCTTAACCACTGAATTCAATCCAATAACCGATTATTGAGCCCCTGCTAAGTGCCAGGCTGGTGGGAAGAGTTGGGGGTGCTGACCTGAATACCACCTCATCCCACCATACACACGTACACTCCCCAGCATGGGCATTCTAGCAGGGGAAATGGATGGATAAACATAGAGCTCTAATAAGAGGGAGACCAAAAGCCACACAAAATAGTACTTCAGGCTCCCAGCTCTCCTCCCCTTCCTCCCTCTTTGCTCATCCCTCATCTGCCTCAGGGCCTTTGCACCTGCTGTCCTCGCTACCTGAAGTGCCTTCTCCCTTTCTCTATCTGCAGAACTTCTATTTATCCTTCCTCACGCAGCTCAGATGTTATCTATGAAGCCTTTCCTGCCTCTGTCTATACCACCAGGCAGAGATTCACACTCCCTCCTCTGCATTCACACTATCCCTTCATACACTTCTCCATCAGGCTTCTATGTTGCTAAAATAATCTATGTCTGCAAGGACTGGGCCCTGGACTGTTCATTCTTGACACGGCACTTGGCACACAGGGGTCACCCAGTAAATCTTGCTGCATGGGAGAATGGACACTTCATAAAAGTTTGTGGATATAATCGGTCTGCCCTTCAACCACTTCCCCCCACCCACTTCCTCCGCACCTTGCCAATGAAAGGATTGATTTCACTTCTTTCTGGGCAGCGTAGGGATGAGCTCTAGCCTCCAGAAGAAGAGGTGAGCGGGAATCTAGACACATAGATCAAAGGTCCTACAAGCTGCAGCTAGTGCTGACAGCCAGCATCAAATCCTTGAGCGAGTGCCAATCCACTCCCTGCCACGTACAAGTACCTAATCCCCAGCACTCTGCTCAGGAGTTCCCATTTCGAATGCCACCCCTCCGCTTATAGCCAGTCAGCTCCCCTCCTGCCTTGCCCTCTTCTCCTTCCCGGGCAAAGCCAGATTTGGAGGCAGCTGCCCTGGCCTGTCCTCCCACACGGTGCATGCACACACACACACACACCCCAGTGCTATATACTCTGGCAGCAAATTTTCTCATTGCTGAAAAATCATAAAATGAAGGGGAGGTGGTGGTGGAGGGAGCCTAGAGGATTTGATAAGGTGTTAAAGAGATGGGAGCAGAGGTGAGTGAACGAGTTGGAGCGGGAGAAGGTATCTGGCGGGAGGAGAGAGGAAAGGTGCTAGGCCCGTAATTGAAAGTCAGAATGATTGCAGGGGTTTAACAAGACATGTCAAGAGGGCATTCATCACCCAAACAGATGCTGCTGTGAAATGCAGCCTGGCACCGATTATTCCCGTGAAAGGGAACCAGCTCCTTGTCAAGGTGCCTCGTAGATAGGAGAGAAATGGGCCAGCACGGAAGGCCACCGACATTAGGGCTGGGGAGTTGTGTAGAGAACTAATGGGGTATTAATCCTAGAGGTGGGGCTGCCCCTGCTCCTTTGCAAAGCCTAGGCCTCACTGCCTCTTCTCCCCACCATTGTCCAGATCCTTCCCTCCACGGTTCTCCAGCCCCCAGCCTCCACGGTTCTCAGGGGGCCCCAGCCCTATATTCTCCTGGCTCCCAGCCCCAGGGGCTCTGGCTGCAGCTGGCGAGAGCCCCCTGTACCCTGGATCCTGTGATTCCCCCTCCGTCACACTGTCCTGTCGCCCACCCTCTGTGAGGGCCTGGTGGCCAACTGCGGGTTTGTCCTCTGAGAGAGTAGGCATGGGTGTTTAGAGCCAGCATCCAGCACCTCTCAGCTCCATGCTCGGCCTGAGGGCACATATCTGCCTTGCGCAGCCAGGAGGTCCGATTGCCCCTCTGGGCAAAACCACCCCATGTCCTCCCCCAGGATCAGCTCCGTGGGCCCTGGCTGATGTGGGGACAGCACACACAGGTCACACTGAACACACAAGCTTCTCTTCCCAGAGCTCACAAGGCATGCTGTGGGTTTCTCTGTTATGGTGTGGTATTTCCTCTGCTGTCACCACTGTCCCTAGTTGCCTTCTGTCAAATTATTTATGTCTCTTCGTTCATTCAGTAAGTATTTACTGAAAACTACCGGATCACCGCAAGCACAAAGATAGATGCTGTGTGAACACAGGTGAAAAAGAAAACAGTCCCTGACCTCATGGGGTGTGAGGTCTAGTGGGGAAACCCGACGCTAAGCAAATAAACTGCAAAGGAACATAACTGCACCTATGATCGGCACAGTGGAGGGAAAGAATGAGAGGCTGTCAGGGCAGAAAACGAAGTAGTTGGGGAGGAGCTGTTTTCATGGGAGCAGTCAGGGAAGGCTTCCTGAGGAGGTGACATTGTAGCTGAGTGCTGAAGAAAAACAAGGAGCCAGGTAACCAAGAGCCAGGGGAAGACATTCCAGGAGCAGAGACAAGCTTGAGCAAAGGTCCAGAAGCCGGAAAGAACAGGGCTCATTTGAAGAATGACAGGAACCCAGGTAGCAAAAGCCTATGAGTTAGGGGGCCAAGGGTACCAGATAAAGACCAGATAAGGTGGGCAGGGGCCTTGTGCTCCCAGGCAGAAATTTGAACTTGACCCAGCCGTGCTGGGAAGCCACTGAGAAATTTTTTTTTTTCTTTTTTTTTTTTTTTTTCCGACTCTTTTCACTTCTTTTTTTTTTTTTTTTTTTTACAAATAGTTTATTGTCAAATTAGTTTCTACATAACACTCAGTGCTCATCCCCAAAGTGCCCTCCTTCATGCCCATCCCCCCCTCCCCCCCACATCCATCAGTCCTCAGTTTTTGTCAGCATTCAAGAGTCTCTCATGGTTTGCCTCTCTCCCTTTCCCCCACCATTTCCGCCCTTCTTCTCCCCCTTGTTCCTCCGTCAAGTTCCTCCTAATCCTCCTATACGTGCAAACATATGGTATTTGTCCTTCTCTGCCTGACTTATTTCGCTTAGCATAACACCCTCAAGGTCCATCCATGTTGCTACACATGGCCAGATTTCATTGTTTCTCATTGCCATGCAGTATTCCATGGTATAGATAAACCACATCTTCTTGATCCATTCATCTGTTGATGGACACTTAGGCTCTTTCCATGTTTTAGCTATTGTGGAGAGTGCTGCTATGAACATTGGGGTACATGTGCTCCTATGCCTCAGCATTTCTGTATCCCTTGGGTAAATTCCTAGCAGTGCTATTGCTGGGTCATAAGGGAGTTCTATTGTTAGTTTCCTGAGGAACCTCCACACTGTTTTCCAGAGGGGCTGTACCAGTTTACATTCCCACCAACAGTGCAGGAGGGTGCCCGTTTTTCCACATCCTCGCCAGCATCTAGAGTTCTCTGATTTGCTCATTTTAGCCACTCTGACTGGCGTGAGGTGGTATCTCAGTGTGGTTTTGATTTGTATTTCCCTGCTGAGGAGGGATGCTGAGCATCGTTTCATGTGTCTGTTGGCCATCTGGATGTCCTCTTTGGAGAAGTGTCTGTTCATGTCTTCTGCCCATTTCTTCACTGGGTTGTTTGTTTTTCGGGCGTGTAGTTTGGTGAGTTCCTTATAGATTCTGGATATTAACCCTTTATCTGATATGTCATTTGCAACTATCTTTTCCCATTCCGTTGGTTGCCTATTAATTTTCTGGGTTGTTTCCTTGGCTGTGCAGAAGCTGCCACTGAGAAATTTAAGCACAAGAGTAATGACCAAGTTACCGTGTACCCCAGTGGCAGTGTCGGATGGCTGGGGAGGACTTTAGTCCTCCAGGATTTCCAGGTCTCTTTCCCGTACCCACACTACCCAAAACTGAGTGAAAACCGGGCGCTTTCTGGGCAGATGCAGCTGAAGACAAGTCTGGTCCTCTTTGCAACCACACATGTCCCACCTCCTGCCCCTGTGGAGAAATTCTGGGCTGGCTATCACGCGCCCCCATCGGCTCCAGGAGGTCAGGGTCAGCACAAGGGTCACCCTCCACCTTTCTCCAAGGGGCTCCAGAAAGATGTTTGTGGAGCCTGCAGGGGGCGCTGCCCTGAGGGCTCCTGTCTTTCCTCCCCAGGTGTGGACGACCCCCACCAGCACGGACGAGGCGTTGCCCTGGCCGACTTCAACCGTGATGGCAAAGTGGACATCGTTTACGGCAACTGGAATGGCCCCCACCGGCTCTACCTGCAGATGAGCGCCCATGGGAAGGTCCGATTTCGGGTAAGGGACCTTCCCTTCCTTCCCCCGCCGCCGTCCAGCACTGTGAGTGGCGCTGGCATGTCCTGGGGATACAGCCCTGCCTCCGCCTCCCACCAGGCTGAGAAGAGGCTCATAGCTCTGCAGAGGCTGGGGGCAGGAGAGCCACAATGAAGGTAGCACCTGAGGGAAAATGACAGACTCCAGTCTGGGCTTCTAGTGCCCGGAGCAGAGAGCATCATGGGCAGAGGAGGGACAGCAGCTTCCCAAGGTGGGCAAGAGCAGGTCAATGAAGGCTCTGGAAGGTGGACTTCATTCCTGCATTGGCGGTGTTTTTCCAGTTGACTCCTGGAAAACCTGATCTTTTCAGGTTTAAGTTCAGGCTAAGGGTGCAGTGGGGAATAAAGGGATGGGGGAGGCTAAGGCTACAGGGCTCCCAACAGCTGCTCCCCCTCGCTGCAGGACAAATGGCAGAGGGTAGGCAAGATGACCTCAAACTCCTCTCTGTGCCCCCTCCCTGAGCTGTCAATAGATTGTGGTGCCAAGAATTCTTCAAAGTTGCTGCTTGGTGACAGTGCCACCCACCTGATGAGCTTGACTTTGGAGCTTTCTCAGGGAGCTTTCATAGGATGCTTGAAACAGGTGTGAGGGAGTCCAGATTGTTCTGGAGGTACCTGGGTCTTACCAGATTCCTCTGCAAGTGTAAAAGTTCCAGCATTTGCCTGATGCTTGATGGTCCCAGGGGAGTGTCCAGGAGCCTTACGTCTAGGTGGCTACCACAAGCTCCCTCCCCCGTAGGCAGCCACAAGCTCTCTCCCTTGAAACCCAGGCTCTCTGGGCAGGAAGGGGGCTTGCCCTGAACTTGGGCAGTTGGTCCTGGATGATTTTCATCTCTGTTCGGCTTTTTCTTCTAACCCAGGTTCTCATCCAGGGGTGAATCTCTCCCCAGGCCATTTATGGTGCCTGGGGACATTCCTGATTGTCACGAATGGGACAGGGGTGCTATCAGGTTCTAATGAGTAGAAGACAGAGTTGCTGCTAGATGTCCTATAATGCACAGGACAGCCCCCCGCACAGAATGACCCAGGCCCGTGTGCTGTGGCAGCTAAGCCGTCTGGTGGCTCTTCTCCAGCACTCACAGGAGCAATCATAATGAGAATAGATGCCCTATTTATCAGGTGCCTTCCATGTGCCAGAAACTGTGCTAAGCGCTTTACATACATTATCTCAGAAGCCCAGGTGTCCAGCGGGGCAACCCCAAGGGGGCTGTGCAGGTTTCCATTTTTATAGGATCAATAGAATAATAAGGAGTTAGAGATCCTGAGGTCTCTTTTTCCTCCAGCTCTTCAGGCCCTGCTCAGCCTACCCCGGCCAACTGGCCAGGCTCTCAATCAGCCTCATTACTGCGCTGATGGGGCAGCCTCCCTCCCGGCCTCCCCCGAACAGGCAGCTCACCAGAGGTCCCAGGCTGGCTCGTTCCTGCAGTGTGGAGGTGGGGGCGGCTGCAGTAAGAGGCCAGGGAGCAGGGCCAGGCCGAGGGGCAGAGGGGCACTCCCAGAAACCCCGAATGTCCCTTCCCAGCCCTTTCCACGCGGTTCCTGAGATTTCAACAGGCTGCTTGAATCTCAAAGAGACAAAACCATCTATAACAGATATTCTTCTCATAAACAAGAGGAAGGTTGCTCTCCACACCTTTTCATCTATTTCAAAGGAAGTCCCACCCGCAGGACCCTTTGCAAGGTCCGCCAGGCCCTGTCAGCACTTCGAGGCCCAAGCTGGGCTCTCCTGGGCCTAGGGTCTCCCCGTGAGCCCTGGAGAGGTGTACCTGATACTGCAAATCCCCAAAGCAAATGTCTCAAAAATATTTAAAGAATAAAAACAAAAGATAACAACTAAAAGCCACCTCTGCTGCTTTCCATGAGACTGATGGCGTGAACAGGGCCAGGACAGATCGCCAGGGATCTATTTCATGCCCACTGTGTACCAAGCATGTCACACGCAGTCCTCACAGCCTGAGCCACTATTCATAGCCCTATGTTGCTAATGAAGAAAGTGAGATCTGAGAGATTAATAACTTGTTTGAGATCACACAGCTCGTCAGCAGAGAAGTCTGGATTGAAATGCACGGCACTTTCCAATGTCCCCCCAACCTGCCCCCCAGCTTCTGACTCTCCTGCAGAGGGGGAAGGGCATAGCCTCCCGAGACAGAAGCCCTGGCTCCCGCCCCATCATTAGCTATGACCTTAGGCGATTTCCCTCCTGCCCCAGGACTCTGTAACCTCACCTGTAAGATGGGAATACTAATGTCTGCCCTTCCTCAAGTGCCTGACAGGAGGGCTACGTGTGACCCTGCCTAGGGAACAGCCACATGCTTCACTGGTGTGAATCAGGACTGTTCCTCTATCCTCCCTGTCCTGCTACAAGCAGCCCAAGTTCTGTGTGGCCCTGAGTGTAGCCACCGCAGGTCCCTTCGGGGGAGGTGAGATGGCAGGTGCTAGGCCGTCCATCTTTTCTCCTCGATTGCATCCGCGCACGCATGCAGTGTGGGGAGTCGGCATGCTGCCCACCCCCACTCTCCCATTCATCGGTCCGCTGACCCGCGGCCCTCTATCCTCCAGGACATCGCCTCGCCCAAGTTCTCCATGCCGTCTCCCGTGCGCACAGTCATCGCTGCCGACTTTGACAATGACCAGGAGCTGGAGATCTTCTTCAACAACTTCGCCCACCGTAGCTCCTCAGCCAACCGCCTTTTCCGGTAGATGCTTCAGCCTAGCCGGGGGCCTCTCGCTCTTGCCGGCTGAGAGTCGGAGAGGAAGGTGTAGGACTCAGAGAGTAGTTCCCAGGGCTGAGGCGGGGGAAGGTCCCCCAGTGAAGAAACAGGAGGGAAAGAGGGATTGAGCGCGAGGCTGTGGGTTGGAGGGCAGATCTTGGGCGGGAAGCTGGCCTCCTGATGTTGTGGGGGAAATGGTCAGAGGGGCACAGCCCAAAGTGTGCCCAGAAGCCAAGCTCTATGGGAGAAAGTCACACAGCCACAAAAAGGAGTTACAGAGTCAAATTTGTTCAGGTGCACCTGTGGGTAAGCAAAGACGGGCAGGTTTACTGGCTGCAGGACTTCTCAGAGCCTTTAACAGGACCATAAGTGTTTTTATTTTCTGAAAGGTAGACGGAGTATTTGACCACAGGACACTTGTTTCATAGATTTTCCTCTTGGGACTGGTGCTCTGCGAAACATGCCTTGGGAAATGCTAGATGAGACAATTAATGGTGGACAAGTTAAAGGGAGTGACACAATAGAAGGAATCTGTTAAGGATCTGCATCTGGGGAGGAAAGGTTGGCTGTTCAGAGGCAATACTTCTCTAAGAGGGGTCCAGGGACCATTGGCATCAGAATTCCCTGGAGCGTTTATTTAAAGTACAGAATCCCGGGGCCCACCCAGATTTTCTGAATCAGAATCTCCAGAGGTAAGGCCCAGGAATCTACTAACACTGGGCACCAGGTGATTCCTATCACACTGAAGTGTGAGAACTGCTGTTGGGGGACCTCAGGACCCATGTGGCCTGAGACAGCCCTGTCCCTGGCCTAAGACATGCTAATGGGGCTCAGGAGCAGGTGGGGAGAGGAGGCAAGTGGGGCCAGGGAGGCCTTGGATTCAGGAAATGGGCCCAATCACCTGCTCAGCTCCCCCAAGACCCCCATCGCCCCCATCCCCTACCCCAGGGGGGCCCCAACTATTAATAAAAGGCAAGAGCTGTGACTAAGCATGTTTTTAAATATAATTATTAACAAAGCATCAATCCTGACTGGATGTAATCACCCCCCGAAGGCACTAGATTTACTAATTAGGTGCCTTGCAAAAAGCTTATTCACAACTTCCAGATTAATTGCAGAAGATCAATTGCTCGTTAACAGAGACACCGCTTTCCTTCTCTGGCTAATAAAGTGTCACTCGCCAGGGGCCCTGGGCAGCAGGGGTCTAGTGCTCTCATCCCTGTGGCCCCAGAACCCAGGCGCCTCCGCTGTCTGCCTGCCTGTCACACGGCCCAGCCTCCCTCTGGCCACCCCAAGGGCGGGCTGGCCCAGAGCTGCCATGGACGAGGTCGGGGTTGCCACAGAGTGGCCCCACGGGTTAGTGTGTGTGCCTCCACACAGCAGCAGTGGAAGCCACTTCCGAGGTACGTGGCTGTGCTCCAAGTCCCAGTGGCAGATGGCTGGGGCACACAGCCGAGAGTGTGAGAGGCTATAGCTCGGGCCACCACTCAGCTGGCAAGTCTGGATGTTTAGCCCCAACCTGTCCCTGTTGCTGAAGAGAGTGTGGCAGTCTCCTTGTAGGGGACCCTGGGGACCGAAAACCTCAGTGTGCTTGAGCTTGGAATCTTTCAGTGAAGAGGAGGGTAACCAGGGACTTCGTCACCCGCACCAGATGCTTACTGAGTACGAGGGGGTCCTGTTAATGATGGTGGAACAGCAGGCAAGCGGGGACTCTCCCAGGCCAGCCAGGATATGTGTGGTCACACCCTGACCTACTGAAGCATGCCTCTGCTCTGGCCTCATCTCTCCGCCCCCGTACCACACCTCATCTCTCTCAAGGGAATTCCTGCCTCCAGCAGGTGTCTGTGCCCAGTCCTACAGAGCAAGCTGCCGAGAATGCGGATCTAGCCACACCCTTCTTCCACCTGAAACCGTTTAGAGGCTCCCCGTTGCCCTCTCTTTGGCTCATCCCACACTTCCCGGCTTTGTCTCCACTCTCCACTTCCCCGTTCACAACTGAGCCCCAGACACTGCCAGCTTTGTTCACTTCTGGGCTGTACCAGGCCTGGACCCTCCTACTGCCAAACCCCCGCCCTTCTTACTGCCCCTCCCCCGCCCCTTGCTCCTCCCTCTTCGTCTCAGGGACACATACTTATCATTGTTCTGGTCTCAGCTTAGTTGGCCCTTCCTCCAGGAAGCCCGTCCTGGTTACCCAAAACCGGCTGAGCTTGTCAGCACTGCCCTCCCTGCAGCCCCTCTGCCCTCAGCATGAGCCTCCCCATCCTCATGGACCCTAAGCTCCTTCCTGCTGTTCACCATGGCCACAGGCCCCCAGGCACACAGCAGTCACTGCAGAAGAGTTTGCTTAGCGAATACACAGATAACAGCGGAACTGCTGGGCTTTATTCTCGGGAACCCTTAACTGCATTGCACCTGAACCAAGGGGTGTCTCTGCCCAGCTGCGGCAGAGTCTGCAGGACACAGGTGGTCAAAGGGACTGTGGTCACTGGCAGGCTGAGGCGTATACACCTCCAGCAGGTGTACACACCCAAGTGCAACCAGGCACGCCGACCTCAGCCCACACCACGCACGTGGATGCGTTCAGCACAGGTGCCCCATGTGGTGGACGGAGGGCTCTCCAGGGCAGCTGCTCCATGTGGCGGACCCCCTGCAGTTCTGCCATCCCGCCACCAAGGGCTCCAGCTGAGGGGACGCCTGTCCCCCTCTGAAAGTACTGGCCACCCCTCAGCCCTCTGGTGACCCTCTGTGATGGGCAGAGAAGAGCCACCTGCAGCGTTGCCAGGAGAATGGTCACATCCCCCCAGCCCCGTCTCCCCCCAGCCCTGCTCCACACATCCAGAGCACCCAGGGCTGCGAGGATCTAATGAGAAAAGAATCGGAGGAGAGCTCACCACCGTCATCAGCATTCAGCTCAGTGCAGAGAAGGAGCAGGACAGTCACAATGGGCTTTTCTGAAGCAAATATTGCTGTGATTCAGAGCTTAAAACAGAGCCCCTGCAGCCCAAGGGAAGCCCTCTCCTCCCTTGTGCCGCTGGACTTCATCCGTGTGACCCACAGACATGTGCCCAGAGCTTCCCGGGAGCCACGCACTGTGTTCGGTGCTGTGGGAAACGCAGGAATGAGGGACACTGGTCCCGGCCTGCAAAGGCTCACAGTCTACCCAGGGAGGTAAGATGCATTCGTTCAGATCAGAGCTTTTACACAAGGCAGAAAGTGATAAAGGCCAAGCAGGAAGGCCGCAGGACTATCAGGGAAGACTTAGAGGAAGTGGCACTGGAGTGGTTTAAATCCTGGGCACACCCAGAACTTGGAAACCTGGGACCACTTAAAGGAAAGTGAAGGTCAGTTGAAGGTAGCTGCGTCCCTGCCCCTTCTCCATCCATCAACTGCCCTTCCCCAGGCTGTCTATAATTCATCCATTAGAGAAGGAAAAATCAATATTTACCAACGTAAATTAAAACCCAAGAAGGGGACAGGCAGGGTGTAGGCAGGCTCTGTGAGCAGAGTGGCTCCGTAGGCATCCAAACGGTGGCCCATGCACAGGGTGCCTGGGGATGTTCAGGGGACAGAGGATGGAGTGAGGGGGCCCCGGGTGCCTTGCGGGCACGTTACTAATCCAGGAATGACCTCTCTATTTTTCTGCAGTGTCATCCGCAGGGAACATGGCGACCCTCTCATCGAGGAGCTCAATCCTGGTGATGCCTTGGAGCCCGAGGGCCGGGGCACAGGTGAGGGCACCTGAGGGGGAGGGCCTGGCCCGCACTCCTGTCTCAGCAGTGCCCGTACGCCCAGGGTGAGGGCAAGAGGGGTGGGGCAGCCAACTCCTCTGCACGGGACTCCTTCCCTGCCATTCTGAAGGCCGGGGTGAGCCCCTGGGAGCAGCAGGCCAGAAGCACTGCTGCTGGGGGCGGGAGTCTGGGAATCCAGGGGCAGTAGCTTCTCTGGCAATGCCTTACCAAGGTGGGGATGGAAAGGAGAGGCTGCGGGTTCTGCAGTCTGACCCCTCCCCTCTTGGCATTCAGCCTGGTGTTGGAGAAAGAGCACTGGATCAGGAGTCCCAAGACCTGGTCCTGCCATTGCCTCATTTGTGGTCTTGGAAAGTTGTTTCATCTTCCGGGTCCTGATCTGCACCATCCTTAGACGGGATAACTACGCCTGCCCTCCTTACCTGCCTGGGTTGTAGTGAGGCCCAAAAGGAGACCATGAATATGCAAACATGATACATTGACAAAAACTGAAAGTGCAAAGGCCATGTGTAATAGATCAGGAAGAAGTCCTCATGGTCTGAACGATTTGCGTGCGTTCCATGCACAAGTTCAGGGAAAGGAAAGGGACCCCCCTCTTCATGATTTCCTCCCATGAGCTGACGGTTGGAAAGCAGAGGAGATGGGTTTCCACCTTGTCCCCCTGCCCCAGCACCGTGCCTTCTGCCTCCCACCCTCTGGCACATGCAGCACCGCATGGTACTAGCTGGGAGCCCCTCTCCCACTTGGGTCTCCTGGCCGACAGCCAGAGTGAAATCTGCCTTGTTGCAGGGGGTGTGGTGACAGACTTCGATGGAGACGGGATGCTGGACCTCATCTTGTCCCACGGGGAGTCCATGGCTCAGCCACTGTCCGTCTTCCGGGGAAACCAGGTGTGCATGGACCCCGGGACCTGCAGAGCCCAGCCTAGTGTCTACCCTGGGTCTAGGGTGACAGAGGGCAGAAGGCCCGGGATGCCTGCTTGCCCAGCGTGGTGGAAAATGGACACCCAGGAAATAAATTCCCAGATACACAGTAAACCTCCAAGAAGGGCTGCCTCCTGGGAGAAGCCCTTTGTCCCTTCGCCTTCCTCTGGCAGTTGTGCTCCAAAACTCTTTTCTCCAAGTCTGTTAGCTTTCCCCTCATTTCTCCAGTGCCTTGCTTTCCAAACTTCACCCTGTTTACCTTCCCTGCCTGGCTTCCTTTCTTCCCTCTGCTCCTTTTCTTCCCTTCCCCCTCCTCCCTCCCTGCCCCTCCTGCCCACCCCTGACACCGGCCTGCCTCCCTCCCACCCTGCAGGGCTTCAACAACAACTGGCTGCGCGTGGTGCCTCGGACGCAGTTCGGGGCCTTCGCCAGAGGAGCTAAGGTCGTGCTCTACACCAAGAAAAGTGGGGCCCACCTGAGGATTATCGACGGGGGCTCAGGCTACCTGTGTGAGATGGAGCCCGTGGCTCACTTTGGCTTAGGTGAGTCAGGCCTGGGGGAGGGTCAGGCAGTGAGCTGCCGTGCCTGGACAGTGGGCTCCTGAAGCTGCATCCCAAACATGCTTGGTAACAGAGAGCTCAGCCCAAGCAGCCACCGTACAGAGCACTCCAGGTTCTGTGAGAGCCGCGGTGGACACCAGCTGTCGGCAGCCCTGCTCTGGGCGAACCTGAGCCCGGGAGGAAGGTTTCCAGGCCCTTCCCCTCACAGGGGCCCCCACTGCAGTCCTCTGTTGAATTAGTTCACTTTGGGGTCAGAGTATTTAATCCTCCCTCTGTCCAGGGCTGTGGCCTTGTTCAGACATTGTACCAAACTTGTCCAAACCAGCTGTTTCCCTGGCCTCCTGGGAGCCGGCTTGGTAGTTAAAGCCTCATCAAACCCCTGGTGCCTTCCCTTAACTAGGAGGCTTGGAGAAGCTGTGCGTTCTCGGGGGGAGGGGGGTGTGACATCACCCTCAAGGGGGTAAAAATCTGTTCTTGTCGGGGGGGGGACAAAAAATTCCTACTATTTTTATATGTATATAGGCACAGATAATACATACAGTACATAAATAGCTGTACAGTATATCTGTGTTATTAATGAGATATGACAACACACTCATCAGAACAGCTGGAAAAAAAAAAAAGGAACAATACCAAAAGCCGGTGAGGATGCAGAGAAACTGGATCTCTCATGCATTATTGGTGGGAATGTAAAAAGGTACAGCAACTCTGCAGAATAGTTTGGTGGTTTCTTTAAAAACAAAAAGTTAGGGGCGCCTGGGTGGCTCAGTCGGTTAAGCGTCCAACTTCAGCTCAGGTTATGATCTCAGAGTTCATGGGTTCAAGCCCTGCGTCGGGCTCTGTGCTGACAGCTCAGAGCCTGGAGTCTGGTTCAGATTCTGTGTCTCCTGCTCTCTCTGCCCCTCCCCTGCTTGCATTCTTCTCTCTCATTCTGTCTGTCCATATCTCTTTCAAAAAAAAATAAACATTTAAAAAATCTAAAAAAAACCCCCAAAAAACAAAAAAACTAAACACACAACTACTATAAGACCCAGCAGTTGCACTCCTAGGTATTTATCCCAGATGAATGAAAACTTATGTCCTCATAAAAACCTATACAAGATGGTTCAGTGTAGCTTTAGCACTAAGAGCCCAACTGGAAGCACACTAGGTATCCTATGATAGATTACTGGTTCATCAAACTGGTCCCTCTGTGCCAGGGAATAGTACTCAGCAATAAAAAGGAGTGAACATTGATACACGTGGCAACTTGGATAGCTCTGGCGGGCTCTGTGGTGGGAGGTGAGGAAAAGCCCAACTCATAAAGTCACATACTATTGGTTCCACTTATATAATATTCTCGAACTGACAAAATTACAGAGACAGAAAACAGAGTGGTCATTGCCAGGGGTGGGTGTGACCATAAAGGGACAGCCTGAGGGAGGTCTTTGGGGCGATAGAGCACTTCTGTATCTTGATTGTGGGCATGGTTGCACAAACCTATACATGTGAGAAAATGACATGAAGACACACACACACACACACACACACACACATGACCAAGTCCACTTCCGGTCCATTTCCGGTTTGGGTATTATGCTATAGTTGCATAAGCTCTAACCATCGAGGGAAACTGGGTGATAGGGACAGAGTCTTTCTGTACTATCTTTGCAAATTCTGTGAATCTGTAATCATTTCAACGTAAGATGTTTTTAAAGAAATGCATTGAGGAGGAAACTGGTGGGGGCAGGGAGTCTAAAAAGCCCTTGAGAGAGGAGAGGGAGGGGCAATCATAGAAAAAGTGTTGAGGAGCCACGAGGGTCCTCACTAAGACACCATGGCGAAGAAAGCATCTGAGTCAGACATACCGGGACTCAAGATCAGACACCACCCACCCCACCCCCGCGTGTTAGCACCTCACACGGTGGTATACTACTAACATAAAAAGAGCAGGCAATGTGGTCTGAAATTAATGTATGTGTTAATATTAGACACACATCACATGGGCACAGAAAAAAACTGCAAGAACATGCAGAAAATGTGACCAGTGCTTTGGAGGGGCTGGGTTACCACGGTAACTCTTACTCATTCCAGGTGGCACTTTACTCCTCTTACTGCCTTTCATCCTCAAGACCACCCTGTGATGTGGGCACTATTTATCCTCATTTTACAAATAGGAAAACTGAAGACCACAGCAAATTAAGAAACCTGCCCGAGGCCACACAGTAGATCAATGGCAGAGCTAAGACTCAAATCCAGACCTGTCCAAGCGTATGATTTTTATTTTTTTCCATATGTTTTGTGTGTGTGTTCCAATTTTTATAGGAATACATAATATTTATGCAGTCAGAAAAAGAAGCATAAATGTTTAGGGGATCGGGCCTGGTTATGTGAGCATGTGCTTGGCCTATTTCACCCTGGATGGGTCGGTTGGCTGTTGAAACGTTTGTCACTTTTAAGGTAGCCATTTGCGGTGCTGGCCAAGTGCAAGACGACTTTTAAATACATTGTCCTCTGACAAAATAGCCATCGCCAACAGTCACTGAGCGCTTAGTATGCACCAGGCACTGGGCTAAGTGCCTTGCCTAAGAGATACCTCGCTCAGTTTTTACCACAACACGATAAATCATAACCCCATTTCACAGGTCAGAAAACTGAGGCTCTGGCTGAGTAAACTGCCCCCAAATTACATCTCCAGAAAGTGGAGAGGGCTGGATTTGGACCCCGACTCCTTGAACACCACTGTCTGAGTTCTTGACCACTGTGACTTAACCACTTGACCTTCCATAGCTGCCGTGTGGGGAGCCAGCCAGGGTCCTCCTGCTCTGCCTCTCTCTTCCTGGACATCCCCATCCCCTCAGTTACCAGGTGACCCATGTAAGGCCATCCAGTCAGCAAGGTAATGCCGTGGTAGCGCAGGTGGGATGTTTATCCCCACCCCGTTGTGTAGAGATCAGGAAACTGAGGTTCCACCTAGCAAACCAACGGTTAAGTATGGGCCTGGAGCTGAGGTTCTCCTTCCTCCCATCCCATGGGCTGCCTGTGCTAATTTAAGACGTGTTTATGGGCCTCACTGTGTCTCTGCTCTGGCCAGTACAGACCTACTTTTTAACTGGGCAGCCTTGGCCACATCATTTGGGGGGATCACAGGCACCCTAGAGCCTCCATGCCTCTTCCCAACTGTCTGCCTCACACAACTGGGCTGGTAGATGCTGCATCTGATGCAGAGCTCCCCCTTGATATTTTGCAAGGCCAGGGGATGTATTGTGGCTCTGAACTCTGGCTCAAACTGCTCCCCTGGGTCCCCTTGCAGGCTCCTCTCTTGTCAGGATCTACTCCCAGAGAGTCATTAAAGGAAGGCTGCTCTCGGAGACCTGTCCCTGTGGATCACTCTCAGGCCTACAGTGAGACTCCCGGAGGTGACCGAGCAAGCAGCAGAGCCAGGAGCAACTGGGCTCTGTCCCCGCGGCTCCAAGGCCCCCACTCTGGGAGGGTCTCCTTCATGGATCCAGCATAGCGCAAGCCTTCCTGGCTGATGGAGGGGCAGCGGTGGGGTAGGAAGAGAGGGAGCCAAGAGGAAAGGCCAGATGGAAGGAAGGATTGAGGAAAGAGAGAGGACGGGGACCACAGACCGACAGTGGGCTGGGGAACCCGAGAGACACAGAGAGACGTGGGAAAGAGACAGATGCAATGAAGAATAAATGCCCCTGCCCTCCGGGCTCACAGTCCAGGGGAAGAGGCAGATGGACACAGGGATTCTGGTGCAAGGTAGACCTAGATGTGCCATCACGCTGGCCCAGGGCCCGTGTGAGGACCAGCTCAGGAGAACTTCATTCTGCTTCCCAAGGACATGGGCCAGCATGAGGTCTAGCAGGACGGTGGGAATTTAGAAGGCCTGGAGGGCAGCTGACGAGAGCACTCCAGGGCCTGGCTTGAACAAAGGCCCAGAGATGCGAGCGTTGTGTCCACACAACAGGAATGGTCTGGTAGGAGCGGAGTCTAGAGAGGTAGGCCAAAGCCAAACTGTAGGGGGAACCAGGAGCCAGGCTGGAGTGGGACAGGCAGATCAGAGCTCCCCTGAGCAAGCCCAAGCCAGGCTATGCTGTGGGAGGACAGGGCTGCTTGGGGCAGGGGGTGGGGAGGGATGTCCAGGGGCCCCCAGCAGGGATGGCATCCTGCACCATGAGCCCCGCAGGGAGAGCCGCTGGTGTTGTCTTAGAAGGATTTAATGTTTTTTTCCTGATTGTAAGAATAATGCAGACTGATTATGGGAAAATTAGAAATTATACCATGATTAAAAAGAAAGGAAAAATGACCCAAAAGCTCACCATTATGTTTTGAATATTAAGCAACAGGGAAACATTTCTCCCTTCACCCTCTCCAGTACCATTTGATCCATTTAGTCAATACTTACTCACTGAGCCACCTACTATGTGCCAAACACTGATGAGACAAAGACCCCTGCCATGGGTGACCTTACATTCTAGGGAAAGTAGAAGAAACATATGACATAAACATAATAACTAGGGAAATATATCAACTGTTAGATGTTAAGTGCTGTTAAAGGACCTGCAGAACAGGATAGGGGATCAGGAATGTGGAGAGTGAGGGGTGGGGTCACCTGCTCCCAGCTCCACGCTTTTCCTTGTGCTTTTCCCACATGCACTGTGCATAGGAGCATCTTTATAGATAAATATTCCTTGGGAGTTTTTGTTAACAAAAATGACTATACTCTGCCTATTAGTCCCAAATTTGCTTTTCTTCCCCCTTCATAGCAGTGAATGTAACCTGGATGCCATTCCAAGTGTGCGCATCTCTCCTTTGTTTTCCAAGCTCAGTACTGCGCAGTATGCAGTCATAATTTATGGAGCAAGTCTCCCATTGATGGACTGCCCGATGGTTTCCAGTCCTGAGCAGTTTGTTTTGTGGTCCCCGGGGTGAGAAGGGGCATGTCCAGAACGCGAATTCAAGAAAGGCCTGCCTTGTCCTTCTGAATCACTGAGCCACACGTGTGGGCCCCGTGGCTGTCCCAGGAGGGGGAGGTCTCGAAAGGGAAGAGGGCCCAAGGAAACCCCCCTTCCAGCACTCACGGCGCTCATGCTCACCCCAACTGACCCCGCTCCCTCCCTGCCTTTGTGAATCATTTTCTGCCTCCCCCTGACTTTGCAGCAAGGTTCAGTTGAGGGCGTGGGCGTGGACAAGTATGTGGGTGTGCATGCGTGCCCCTCAGCACGCCCACGTCCTGCTCAGCTCAGCACTGAGCCTTGGTCGGAGGACCAGCTCCTCAGACCCTCCTGTATCCTCCCTGCTCTCAAGGGTCTGGGCCGCGTCGCATCCTCATGCACCAAAAATTCATGGACCTCACTGGGTGGATGTTTCATTCTCTGGGGTTCCCAGAGGGCCCATTCTGTGTGCTGGCTCCCATCCTACCCACCCCTGCTCAGTGGAGCCCCTGGCCTTGTTTCACCTCTCCTCTGCACCCTGCCCTGGCCTTTCCCTGCCCCTTCTGGTACAGCTGGCCAGCCAGGCTCATAAAGAAGCATTTCTGCTCACGGCCCTTGCGGGGTGGCCCGCTGCACACTGTTTGCTCTGAACCTGCATCCAAGTCCCCACCCCCTACACACTCACCCTACAGATCTCTTACCCTGGCTGTCCCATCCCTGGTTTGCAGAGGGCTAAGGCAGCTCAGCCAAACCCAGAAAATGGAAACAAGCACCTACAGTCTACTTGTCCCTGCCAGCCCCCATAGGGGGCTCACCCACAGGCCGGCCCACCCCAGGCCTTGACGGTACCCCTGCCACACACACTCAACCACCTTCCTTTAAGCTAATTGTTTGCAAGTGACTCAGAGCTGCCTCCAAGCCTGCTGGTGCTCATTTAGGGAAGGAAAATTCAGTGGCCCACATGAAAATTGCTTTATTAAAGTGCAAAAATATTCCACCAACTGTATTCCCACCATCTGCTTTGCTGGTAATTCTGAAAAGCGCAATTCTCTGTGCCTCCTTGGCCTTTGTCCTTTAAATGCTGCCAGAGGTGACTCCCTGCTGCTTTTGACCTCCCAGCTGTGCTGGTTAATGGGGCCTCCCCTGCTCACAGCCCCACTCCCTGACTCATGGGCCTGGCAGGCAGGCAGACTGCGTGAAAGCTGGCCTTGTGCAGTGCCTGGGACCACCCGAGATGTCTGGCTGCTTGAGAGAGGGAACAGCCTGGGACAGGAGTCTGGGTTTGAATCGTAGCTCAGGCACCTGCGAGTCACTTCACTTTGCCAATGTCTACACCTGGTGAGCGGGGATAGAATGCCCACCTCACAGAGTCATCTGGAGGATTCAGATCAGCCTCATACATGAAAGTTCCAAAGCCTCTCCCAGTCTCCTTCCCCCCCAACCCCGCCAATACATTTTCCCACACTCTGCTTCCCCCACTTGTAACTTCTCCCTGCTCTTCATACACACATGACCTCATCATACCTCTGTACCATGCCGTACCATCTGCCTGGACTGCTCCTTCCTTCCCTTCTCTGCCTCACAAACTCCTACTCCTCCTGCAACACCCAAATGGAATGACTTTTAACACCCGCCTCTCCCACCACGTGGCACCAAGGCTATGGCTGCACGTTCCCAGTTTATTATAACATCATCACTATGTCCATTGCCCCCACGGGATGCAGCTCTTACAGGATGGGACCTGGGTCCATCTTCTTGCTAAATCCCAGACCCCTGCAGGACACTTGGCCCGTGGTGGGGCTGGGTGTGGGGGCCAAGTGAGCAGTAGAACAAGGGCAAAGCAGGTACAGGCTTTGGGGTCAGACATCCCTAGTTGGGGAACTCTGGGCTATTTGTGTCCCCTCCCCGGGTCTGAGCCCCTTTATCTCTAAAGTGGAAATTAGATCACTGGGTGTTATATGGAAACCAACTTGACAATAAACTATTTAAGAAAATAATAAAAAAAATAAAAAATAAAATGGAAATTAGAAATCTAGTACATTCCCCGTGGTGCTGCCGAGAGGGCCCAGTGCCAACAGTGAGACCACGTGCTACAGTTTAGGGTACATATTCTCCAGCATTATTGCCAATCAATGAAGGTGCTCTGGGAACTACAGGTGCCCCCATATCTAAGAGATGGTGGAGATGGGGATGCTTAGGGGACAGTCAGCTGGGGCAGGGCTCACAAGGAAGAAGGCCTGTCCTTCCCAGGAGTGCTAGAGCTCTGGGCCACACCCCCATCTTATAGATGAGGAAACTGAGGCCCCGGAGAAGGTGCCCAAGTCAGCAAAATCAGCAGCAGCAGAAGAGGGACTCCTACTGAGATGTATTCTCCATGACTGGCTTAACTCACAGCCCTGCCCGTCCTGGGCTGGGAGGAAGGGAGGAAGCAGGACTCAGAACTACATGATGCAAACACAGGATGTAAATTTGTGATTGTCTATGAATATTCGGTGACTCTTCTGAGTTATTTGTGGCACTCCAGTCAGGCTGGAAAATGTATTCCTGTAGCGTTCTGTCGGCTGAGGTGAGAAACATTTGCTATTCTTTGTCTCCTTTTTTTAATGGAAAAGTGTTTACTTTTTATATATGCCACTTAATTTGGGCACTGTACAACCTAAAAATGCCAAATCTCTTTAACTTCAAGAGACTATTTCAAAATAGAAAAAAACAAAAAAGAGCCCACCGTGGGTACCCCCGGTCCCATGATCCACCCTCCTTCTCCAAAACGAATTATTATAGAAGGAGGGAGTGGGGGATTAGAGGTTTATGAGAAATAATTGTCTGACTTGAGAAAGGAAACCCCAGAATCAGTGAGGTTGGAAGCGGGGAGTCTGGAGGGGAAGAGAAGCTGCCCCGGGTGTGGGGTTTGGGGGTCTTGGCTCTGGGAACCTCTCCCTGGTCCCACTGCCCTGCCTCGCCCTCAGACAGGGGCCGCTCACCTCTGACACGTGCACGTGTGCCCGCAGCACCCTGTCCTCCTTAATGACAGCAGGTAGTGGCAAGGCCAAGGGGAAGCAAATGCAGGGAGGGGAGGCCCCATAGAAGGGTGCCAGGGCTCCAGGAAGAAGGCGCAGCTGGGGCCCTCCACCCCGTGCCCCCTGCCGTCTCAAGCATCACCCCCGAGAGTGGACCCTTGCACACGGGAGTCTACACACACACTCTCCTCGAAGTCTGCTGGTGGCTGCCAACCCTTTTCTAAAATGCAGGAATCCCTTTTATACATGAAAATGTGTCCCAGACTACCCTCCGCCCCCACAGTAGCTATCCTTGTAAAATCCTTCGGCGGACAGTAAGGGCCCAAAGCTGCTGTAAATTCAGCAGCACTTTTCAGTTTCCCTGGTTTTTCCCGGAGTGTCTGCATTCATTAAGGGAAAGTAGCACATCCACGTGGGTGACATTGTTTACTCAGCCCACGAATGACGCTTGAGGGTATGACGAGATTTGTGGACCCCTGAGCAACGGGCCCGCATCTGGTCATCCCTGGTGGGTGACAACGAGGGAGCTGCCCCCCTCTCTCCTACCTTCACTGAGCACGGCCCCCTTTCCCAGGTGACAGACTAGGAAAACAACCTCTACCTGCAGGTGAGGCCCAGCCCCCACCTCTTGTCCACCCCAATTCATCACCATTAGCCTGACCTTGCCACAGACAGGCCTGATGCCTCAAGCAGGGGGCTGGGGCCGCCTCTGATACCGCCTCTGAATGCCTGACAGGTCTCTCCAGCCTGCTTTCTGCCACCGATGTAACACGTTGCTCTAAGGTTGTGTGCAGATGGATTCGCCGTGAATATTCTCTGCACTTCACCATTAGCTTTTGTAAACATCTCAGCTCTATAGGATGGTCCTTCTCTCGTGCCTTCAACTGTCCTGTTCTTTATCACCTCAGCTTTTATTCGGAGCTCACCTCAAGCGCCATCCCACAAGAGCCCGTCCCTGATCTCCCTGGCCTGAAGAGGCCCCCGGCCACACCCCAGTTCCGCCTTACCCTGGTGCCCTATCTTTGTGTTCTTCACAGAGCTTGTTAATATCTGACAGCATTGATCTATTCATCGCTGTGCCTGTCTATCCCCACCAGAGCAGAAGCTCCTTGAAAACAGGAACATTCTTGGTGGTAAAAGAAAGCATGGCCCCTAGCAGGCTATAATTATAACTAATATAAATTTAAATAGAGTAACATGGCCAAGATTACACAGCAAGCAAGTGAGACCACTAGGATTTGAACCCAGGACTGCAAAGTCAACCTGCTTACCACCAGGCTTTACCTTCTCCCCTAAAGCAGCTTCATGCTGATTGGCCTATCCGCTAGAATGTGAGTTCAGGTGCTACACTGTCCAGTATGGTAGCCACTGGCCATGTGTAGCTATGGAAATAAAAACCAATTAAAATTAAATAGAATTTAAAACTCAGTTCTCTTTCTGTCCCATAGGGAAGGACGAAGCCAGCAGTGTGGAGGTGACATGGCCAGACGGCAAGATGGCAAGCCGGAGCGTGGCCGGTGAGGAGATGAACTCTGTGCTGGAGATCCCCTACCCCCGCGGTGAGGACAGACTTCAGAACCCAGCCCCACTGGAGGTGAGAAATGGTGTCGGGGGGCCTTGGGCCTCGGAGCCAGAAGAGCAGACCCCACCCACGGCCCTAGGGTCTGAAGCTGGACTCCCAGGAATGTGCAGACTTTGCCTCTAGAATGAGGGAAATCTCAGCAAAGAGCAGGCTTCATAATGATCCTCCATGTGTAGTTTGGGGAGGGATTTGTAGGTTAAGAGGGATCGGTACTGTTATGTGTCCCAGCTCAGCCACGTGGTCCCACGTGAGGAGAGTGAGCAGGAGTTTGAACTGAGTATATTCTTGTCCTTCCCCCAGGGTCCTCTTCTTCGTGCAAGGGAAGGGGTCCCGGCAGGGAGGGGCTGCCCCCAGGCCCAGAGCTAAGAGCACCCCTCATTCTGGGCTCAGGGTGACAGCTGCTCTGTGGCTGTGACTAGAGGGGAACCAGAGGTGGGATCTTCTCAACTCACTAGTGTCTCTGTTTCCGCTCACCCTGCAGTGCGGCCAAGGATTCTCCCAGCAGGAAAATGGCCATTGCATGGGTGAGTTGCCTGCAGCCTCCAGAGGACGGGGCAGAGGCCAGACCCTCCCTGGGGAATGTCAGCCTGAGCCCTGGCAAAGCTTAGGCTGCAGACAAGAGGAGAAAGGTGGGGAAGGAAAGGTGTTGTCTGTCCCCGGGGCTCCAGATGCCAAGACAACTGCCGTGTGACTCACCAAGGTGGGAGTGACACTGGAGGCCAGCAGGCCGAGTCACTAAGGCTCTGGGGATGAGCGCTTCCTGCCATGGATTCGGAGAGAAGAGGCACGGGGAGAGACGCATAAGTACCTGTATGATGCTCACAGGGAGGCCTGGCTCCTGGGGCCACAGTGGCTAGGGTGCGCACACGTCTTCCGTGGTGGCTTCAGCGTGGCCAGCTGGCCAGCACGCGAGCCGGCAGACAAGGATGGGCGTGGCCAGGGGCCCTGGAGCAGCCGGGTGCGCAGTGCGGTCACGGAGCAGAAGGGAGACTATAGCCTCGTGCCATGCTGAGAGGCAGGTAGCTATAGCGCTGCTTGGACCGCAGCTCTGTGAGGGTTCCTTGACTTCCTGAAAGTCCTCCAAGGGCCTGGAGGGGCAAAGGGCAGCCAAGGGGCTCAGCCTCTAAAAGACCCTCAACCCAGTATCTTCCGTGTCAGGAACCAGCAGTGAGGGGTCAGGTCAAGGACTCCTCCTGCCTTTAGACTCTCGGGCAGCACTCTTCCCAAGTCTGTTCTGCAGATGTTCATCAGCCCCAGGCGAGTGGGTTTGCTACTGAGATGCCAGAGTAAACAAGACAGGGACGCCTGGGTGGCTCAGTCGGTTAAGCATCCAACTTCAGCTCAGGTCATGACCTCATGGTTAGTGGGTTCGAGGCCCGCGTCAGGCGCTGTGCTGGCAGCTCAAGCCTGGAGCCTGCTTTGGATTCTGTGTCGCCCTCTCTCTCTGCCCCTCCCCTGCTTGTGCTCTGTCTCTCTCTCTCTCTCTCTCTCTCTCAAAAATAAACATTTTTAAAAATGAATTTAAAAAAAAAGAGTAAACAAGACAGACACAGTCCCTGCACTCGTGGGGCTTAGAGCCAGTGGGAGAGGCACATGAATAAACAGTGATGACCACTAAGTGTGACAGGACTGGATGGGGGAGGGGTGGGATGTGGGAGCACAAAGGTGGGGCCCTAAACCAGCCAGGGAGGGTCCCAGAGGGTGCCCCAGGGAAACAAGGTCTGAGCTGAAACCTGGGGGGCAACGGGGGTTCACCAGGCAGGGAGAGGGGAGAAGGTCCCCCAGTGGAGGACACTACACGGGCAAAGGACCACAGGTGAGAACGTGGAGGAGTGTGGCTCTAAGGGTGGCTTGGGAGGAAGTTAGTCCACTCCACTCTCCGTGTCCCAACCCTGGCCTCTCTAAACAGAGGATGCACGTACACAAAACTTCCAGCATCTAGCCTGTGCACCGGAAGGACCCTATGAGATCACCCTTCCAGCCACCACTTCTTTTTCACTCTCTAGCGGCTAGTCATGTGCTCATGCGAGGTGCTGGGGATGTGGGCCAAGCACCTGTCCTGGAGCAGCATCTGTTCCGGTGAGGGGACCAGAACACATGACCTGGCAGCCCAATGAGAGGGACTGAAAACGCTTTAAGCAAGGTGTCCCTGGAGACTGTTTCAGACAGGGTGGTCAGGGAGAAGACCTGCAAGTCGAGACCTGAAGGACGAGAAGGTCCAGCCACAGAGAGAGCTGAGGGAAGCCCAGGAGCAAGGATCACAAGGCAGGAGAAAGGCTCCGCGTGTGGAACGGGCAGGAGGCTGGCGTGCCAGGCGCTAAGTCAGGGAGGGTCTCACGGTGTCTGGATGCTGGTCCTGGGGCCCTTCGCAATGAAGCAGGAGAGTATGATTCACATTTTCAAAAGATCACCCTGCCTGCTGAACTGCAGATTTAGAGGGAAGCGTGGGAGCCAGAGTGCTGGTCTGAAGGTGGCTGTAGGAATCCAGGCAAGAGGTGGTGCCGGCTGGCAATCAGCTGTGGCCGGAGGAGGAGGCGGCAGACAGACAGAGGGGTTCTATGGGGGGCAGGACGGCAGGCTCTGTTGTTGACTCACCTGCAGACATAAGGGAAAAGGAGGCGCTGGGATTGCTCCTATCTGTGCCTGAGCAGCCGCGTGCGTGGCAGTGGTGTTGACTGACTCAGGCATGATGGGGTCGGGGGTGGAAAAACTTTGAGGGCTGGAGGATCTAGAATTCCACCTTGCACCTACTGATATGAGCTACATGTTAGGTTCCTAAGTCTGGAGCCCCAGGGACAGGTTGTGGCTGCAGCTAGGAGTCTGGAATCATCCACATATAGAGGGAACACCTACACAAAGCGTGGTAGATAGAAGACCCGGGACCAAGTCTGACACCCCCAACACGTAGAGGTCAAATCTAGAACGAGCCAGCCAGAGGGACTGAAGTGAGGAAGTTGAGGCGCAGAGAGAAGAAGGGACGTGCGAAAGGTCACAGGGTGGGTGGGGCAGCAGAGCCTGAGCGAGGACCTACTGCCCCACACCTCCCTGGTGAGTGGCTCCCCTCGCCTTTTAGACACCAACGAATGCATCCAGTTCCCGTTCGTGTGCCCTCGAGACAAGCCTGTGTGCGTCAACACGTATGGAAGCTACAGGTGCCGGACCAACAGGAGGTGCAGTCGGGGCTACGAGCCCAACGAGGACGGCACGGCCTGTGTGGGTGAGTGAGGCCCAGCCACGGTCCGGTAGGACACGGGAAGTTGTCTTCCACTGGAGAGCTTTGGGGAGGCCCCAGGTCAAGGTCCCCATCCCCCGACTTCTCCCGGCCAGATGGAATCTCCTTAGACCCCCGTTGGTCTCCGGGGAAGACCGTGACAGAGGTGTGGAGAAGCCCCACCACTACTACCGCCATCCGAAGGGCCCCTGGGGCGCCGTGCCCTGGCCAGAGGCCGTCGTTCTTCTTACCTCTCCCCTTCTCGCATTTCGTACATGTTCCTACCTTATGGTCAGCCCGTCTCTTCCTGCCAGGCATGTAAACTAGCTCCTACCACTCATCTTTGCCTGAATTTCTGAACTGGTATTTGTCTTCTTCCTCCCAAATGCTTCCCCCCACCCCCATCCCACCCCCATCCCCTTTCTCTTTTTCCCACTCTCTCTCTCTCTCTCTCCCTCCCATCCTTTTTGCAGCTCAAGTGGCCTTTTTAGGTGGGTATCCTTCTGCTGCCTTTAGAATCTCTGAGCCTCTCTCTCGTGCCTCATATCTTTCTCTAGGCCTTGGACTTTGCCTTCAGTTATATGCACTTTAAATCCCATCAATAAAGGAAAAAAAACTAAACTAAACCAACAACCTTTGTGGAACACGAAATCTCTCCCGCTGCCTGTCTCTCTCTCCACGCCCAGTAGACTCTGCTGCGTGCTCCCTCTGAATGGACCGCAGGGGTGGCCATCTTTGAAAAGGGAAGTTTGGAAGATACTGATGTTTGTGTAATCTTGTTTGTGAAGCCTTTCTTTGAATGTTTTCTGAGAAAACAGAAAAGTCTCCCCTCTTACCCCATCTACCCTCCCTCACTTCTTCAGAAGAATCAAGATAGTCCTGTCTTTTCTGTGTCCTCCAGTGTCACAAGCACCCTACTTTGCCCTTAACAAAGATGGCTCCCAGGCGGTTGCTTGCTCAGTTGATTCACTCCTGTATCATGTGCCTGCTGGTTTGGCCTGTGCTGTTTCTGCTCTGTGTACCCTGACTTCCTGTGGTAGAGAAAGCCATATTGGAGTTGGTGGTTATTATGGGAGGGGGAAAGGTGGCCCTTTGGGACCTATGACAAAAATGTTAAAGTTTGAACTTGCCACGTCCTCCAGCCTCTTTCTGGAGAAATTATGCCAATAAACTCTGCTGGATATTAGCACCTAGCTGGCGAAAACAAAAATGTGTCCGGGGCAAGCAGATGCTGGTTGGAATGCTGAATTAGCAGCAGCTCCTCTGTCAGGTGGCACTGGGAGAGCAAATCACAAGACAGGGAAACGTCCTGTGTGTGAGCAATGGTTTGGCTATGTGCACCAATATTCACATTTGGGGGGCTGGGGTGTGGGCCAGGCAAGGGATGTAGGAAGAGCAAGGGGCAGATGTGGAGGGAATATTCTGGGTCTTTTACTTGGAGGAAGTTGCTTCTCTACACAGGCCTCAGTCTGCATAATGTAAGTAAGGAGAGATTTGGTCTGGTGTATCCCGGAAGCCCTTTCCTTTCTAAGACCCTTCAGTGTGTGGCTGGACAGAGATATGGATAGTCTCAAGTTACCTTGATTTCTAGAAAGAATCTTGCAACATGGTCTCCTCTGCAATATGCTTAGAAACCCAGAAGCCTTTGTAAGCAGAGCACCCTTTGGGAAAGATGTAACACCGTAGAATATTTTCACAACCAGCCTTGGTAGTGAAGGCTTGTTATAAATCACAGATCTGTTCTTCAGGGGGAAAAAAGTTCCCCCAAGATATAATAAAATCACACTTAAGAATGCAGCAAGCATTTTAAAAACATATTTAACAAAAAAAAGACCATTTTCTCATATAATAATAATATTCCCAATAAATCACAAAATATGAATTCCTCATAACTAGTACTGTTTTTACACTCAAAAGAGGAGCTTGAATGAAAAGTTTTAAAATAAAAACAACTACATTTTCACAGGAAAGCATAGAACAACTTAAAAATTGCTCCATTTCTGGGAAGCCCACTCGTGTATGTTCAGGTAGAAATTAAAGGTCTGGATGGGCCCAGAGATGAGGATCGGAGAGATGAAGTGACCCAAGGTCACAGAGCCAGCTGGTCCCGAGCCAAGGCTGGAGCCCTTTCCTGCCGCACCATCTTGTCAGAGGGTAGCAGACCACACTGTCTCTGTTCAGACTATTCCCTAGTCGTTCTGGAAGCGGCTGCCTTTTTAGAAATGAACAAGTAGATCTAAGATAGCAAGAGAAATAAAATCCAAAACCCACAGAAGCAATGGTTCCAAATGCAGTGGTAAATGGTAAGATAACAGTGTCCACTGACAGACCACACACAACAGCACGAGAAGTAAGGGACGGGACAGCTCATGAGACGGCCTGCCAAGGACATCAGAAAATTCAGGATGACAGCAAACTTCAGAGGATACCTTATAAAGTAATAACCACAAGTCCTCGCACACTGAGTTTTTACGACAGTATATTTGTGTTGATTTACCCTACTTGGTGGGTGGGGCCAGATGAGTTACACATAGGTGTTCCAAATCCCCCCAGCTACCAAGAGCACAACTACACTATCCCAACTCGGGGCCAAGAAGGCTTATTCTGGATGTGGTCCATTCAGTCAACAAATATTAGTTGAGCACCTACTATGTGACAGGTACCAAGCTAGGCTCTGGGCATACAGTGGTAAATCGAGATGATATGGTTTATTGTTCACCCAGGGTCTCCCTCCAGCCAGAACCAAGGGCATGGGATCAGAGTAGGACTTCCAGGGTATGTCTGAAAAATCAAACTAAGTGGTGCCACGCCAGAAAGCAAGCTCTCTGTATTTGCTCACTCGTTCCAGTATCCATTCAGCAACCATTCATGGGGAACCTCCTGTGTGACAGCACTGGGTCCCTTCCATGAGGAACCCCCCTCCAACGAAGGGGTCAAGTCTCCTGTCCCCAAGATGCTTGTGTTGGAAAAATACGAGGCTAAAAGAAATAGAGGCCAGGCAGGTACTGACCCAACTGAACGGTCCCTGCCCCCCCAAAAAAACAGGGGCTCCCCAGTGGGTCAGGAATCCAGGCTTTCTGAGCCAAGTGCCCCTAGTCCAGTGCATTTACTGGTCTGTGTTGATCTGGCCACAGAGGGGTCCACCCAGAGCCACGCCCAAGCTAGCCAGGCACAGGATCACCATCCCCTTTCTTCTAATGCCCCTTCCTCTGACGCCCACAGGTGCTACACCCTTGCCTTCTCCTTCTGAGCACAGAATCTAGGCTTTTCTTTGTCCCTTTGCCACACTCAGACTCCTGACATCTTTGTTGCCTTATGCTGGACTTGAGTTTGGAACAGAATAGCAAGTGCCTCGAGCACTGACTAATGGCGTGGACCTACAACAGATCGTGCCTCCTTTGGGGCAGCCCCAGCTCACTCTGGTAATAAGAAGAGTAATAAGAATAAGAATACCATTTTAAAAAAAAAAAAAAAAAGAATACCATTTTTATTTTGCCCAAGAATACTCCTCTCCCCAGGAATGTACCCTTAAGATGACAATAATAGCCACATTCAGTGAGCTTGGCATGTCTGGGCCAGATCTAAGCTCTTTAGAAGAATCAGCATGTGTAATCACCACAATCCCAAGCGGAAAGTGCTATAATGATCCCAGTTTTACAGAGACGCTAAGAGGCTTGTCCCAGTCACATAGCTGGGACAGACAGAGGAAGGACTCCATCAGATTAGTCTGGTCCCCCAGCCTGAGCTCTTAACACAGACCCTTCTTTCCCATTTGGGGTGACTAACCAGTTACACAAAAGCCACAGTCTATGTTGCCCGAGGCAAGGGATGGGTTGGGAAGGAAGAAGAGCTCAGGATCTGTGACAAGTGCCACACGGTCACTCTCCAGCTGCTAGAAGACATCCTCGCACCAGCCAGTGTGGCTGCCCTTAGCAAAGGAACACCAAGAATCACCTGCACAGCCTCTCCAAATACCTACTCAGCCGCCAGCCCTGCTCTGGGGAGGTGCCATTCTGAGGGCCAAGAGTTTGATTATGTGTCACTCTGGCTGCTATGGCCCCCTCCCAGGGTCTGGGCATCACACGCTGACCAGCACCCCTGGACTGTGGCCCAAGCAGGAACTCCGCTCCAGCCTCCGAACAGGGCTGTTGCTCACCTCTCCGGAGCCGCGCGGACACAGGAGGAGCGAGTGCTTCGTTTTCTCAGGGAGCCAGCGGAGTTTGCCCGGCTGATCCTGGAGGGATACCCCACCCAGACCGTCAGCCGGGGAGGCAGGCCGAGTCCCTCCCCTTCTCTCCCTCCCCAGGGTCAGCCGTGGCTCTCCCCTTCAGTGTGGGCCAGAGCCCCAGCCACTTCCTGTCAGGGCTGATGTAGCACAGGCACATCCCAGAAGAGGAACGAGGTGAGAGGGCACGGGCTGCTTAACTAACTCCACAGATAATGCCAAGCTTCCGCAGCCATCCCTTTAAGGAACTGTGGTTGAACAGCAAAGTGGTCGAAACGTAGACTATTGGAGAAAAATGAGAAGCAGGAAGAGAAAAAACCCTCCTTGGGGAATGGAGCTAACATTTACAGAACGCCTGTCGTATCCCAAGAACCTTACATATATCTCCCCATGAATCCCCACACCGTGCTGTGGGCTAAATGTTACTCGTCTGTTTTATGACCAAAGAAGCAGAGGCTCAGGATAAGTTCCACAAGGTCACATGGCTGGTTAAGCGGCAAAGCTGTGGTTCAAACTGGCAATTGACTGGCTCCAAAGCTTGTGTTTTGTGTTTGTTTGTTTTTTTCTGAGAGAGAGAGAGAGAGACAGCGTGAGCAGGGGAGGGTCAGAGAGAGAGGGAGACACAGAGTCTAAAGCAGGCTCCAGGCTCTGGGCCAGCCATCAGCACAGAGCCCGACGCAGGGTTTGAACCCATGAACCCTGAGATCATGACCTGAGCCGACGTCGGATGCTTAACCGATGCTTAACCGACTGAGCCACCCAGGTGCCCCCCAAAGCTTGT